AATTGTCGTTGGAGGTGTCCGAGAACCGGCAGGAACACTCGTTAATCGAGGGAAAGCTCGTCAGTCGAGACATTTTCTGCGAGTGGCCTGCTCGTTACTCAAAATGCTTGTAACTGGAGCCACTCATCACGCGAGGTTCCACTGTATATATACTGCACAAGAGTTCTTACATTCTTGTATAGCGATTAGCGTGCATAGTGTTTCGGGCAAATCCTTAATCCTAATTTTCACACACACACACACATACATACATACATACACACACACGCACATCTTTAGGCAGCAGCCCATAGTAGTTTTAACTCCCAGGTACCTATTTACTGCTAGGTCAACAGGGCCATCAGAGTGAAAGAAGCTGTGCCCATTTGTTTCTGCCTCTGCCCAGGGATCGAACCCGGACCCTTAGGACTACGAGCCCCATGCTCTGTCCACTCAGCCATCAGGCCCCCTTGATATTGAAGCCTTACAAAGAGATCTATATGAACTCCACAAATGGTCAGAAGACTGGCAAATGCTTTTTAATATCGACAAATGCAGGACCATCAAGAAGATAACCATGCATGTGGGCCATAACAACCCATGCCACGACTACCAAATTAATACCATTACATTCCACAGATTGATGAAGGAAAGGACCTTGGAGTCAAAATTCACTACTTGTTAAACGTTTCACAAGAGGGGGAGAAGCAGTAAGAAAACCTAACCAAACTCTTGGAATAATCAATTGTACTTTTGACTATAATGAAAAGAAGGTAATGATTCAACTGTACAAGTCTCTGGTGTGCCCCCATTTGGATTACTGTCTCCAAGCATGGAGACCTCATTTTCAGGACACAGCTGCTCTGGAGATGGTGCAACACTGGGCAACAAAATTCATTCCAGAGCTAAGTCATCTCCCATATCAGGAATGTTTGAAGTCCAAAGGGTGGCTCTCACTGAAACTTTTAAAATACTGAACAAGTTAAAGGATGTTGGTCTGGATGTTGATCTGGATGTTGAGTGTTAATGAAAATCACTTTTCTGAGCAGCACCATCGTAGCTCATTTATTGCAGATACCCGGTCAAACACTGTATTAATCAGTTACAGCACTACTTTTAGTGAGGAAGTCGATTAAAAAATTGGATACCAATACGAGTTACAGGTTTTAGTTAGCCGCTCACCTGTCATCTGTTTTGTCTTCACTTGCTTTCTCAACGCGAATCTCAAGTGGTTCCTGCCCACTGTACCTACAGACACAACTATATTACTCTCTGTGCTGTAGTGTTGGTACAGTAATTGTCATAATAAAGGTCATAACTGTGTAATTTACAACTGAACAACTGTGTTGTATGAAGATACATAACCTGTTAAAATTGCAATCAAGATAATTGTATAGGTACTGTATATAAATATTGTAGTTGCAATACTATTGTATTATAAAATTTTAATTGTTTGAATACACTATATATAATTAGTTGCCATAAGTAAATTGACAATGAAGGCTAAATTATATGGGCAAAATAAATTGAGGTATAATACTGCAAATTAAAATGCCCATTGTACTGCCCGGGGCCATTGTGTAATAATACAAAAAGCCAAGAATGATTATCATCACAAACCCATGGGAACTTAAAAGGAGAGATACCGAGAACTGTATTCAAGAGTGTTGAGAGATGAATTTTGTCAGCTGGTGCAAACATTTACTTTGAAATGGGTACAGAAGATGTTATCTTAGTTACAGTCAGCTCTAGGGAAGAAAATAAAAAAACATTTAATTTATGCCATGAAAAACTTTGAATACATGACTGGGTAGGGAGATTGGAGCTTGTCCTCGTTGTGGAGGTTTACCTCAATAAAGGTTCCAACTATGAAATGGTAGACTGAGAATGATGTCAATGCAAACTTCTTGTATAAACGTTGATGAACAAAAGAATAGGTTATAAGTGCATGTGGCTAAATATGGAGGCAACGAGAAGGCCTGCTCTGTGGTCTAGATTGACTTGTAATGTGAGCCCACTAGCTTTTTCAACCCTACCTTGCAAAAGTTTGTGTAATGTACAAGATAGTAGTAAAGGGCTTTGTATTACCCCCCCCCCCAAAAAAAAAAACTTTGTTGCAATGATGCTCGAGAGTGCTTATTTTGAGTGTAAGGTTATATCCATATACACGTACCCATGCTGGGAAACTGGGAGGTGTGACCACTCTTGGGTGCCTAGAGCAGGTTGAGGTGTTACGCCTGGCATTACACGGAAGCCTTCAGTTTCCTGTGTGCAGCAATGCCATTTGAGAAGTGATGCGTGACATCATATTCTACTTATACTTATTAAGAGAAGATATATTAGCCTTTCTGAATGGTGAATTCTACTTATATGTACTGTACAATATAAATATAGAGAAAATAAATGGTTATACTTAGATTAATTTAATATAATGTTATTTGCAATACTGTACTTTAAGTCTTTTCTTCTCCTCAGACAGACAGCTGGCAACATAGCGGTAATCTTTGGAGAGTCTGTTTAGCTGCTGTGTTGCTGAAATCATCAGTGACTCCAACAACTCCCACCCAAACTTGGCCCAGTGTACTAACTTGCGAAGAATGGGTGCCAGACCTGAAAACATCCAATAATTTAATATTATCTATAGCATGTCATACTAATACATTTACTGTCATGTAAAGAGAAATGATACAGAGACGAAGTATTTATTGTAAAGTGTGTTTTGATTGAGACGAGCTTATTAAGTCCTGTGAGAAATACGTACCCTACAGTGACTACGGGAAAGTGAAATTTGTGGTCTTCCTAAGCCATTTTGTACCTGGTGCATTTTTTTTAAGTTTCTTCCAAATAAAGTTCTTAATCATACCCACTTTTAAAGTTGTGAGTGAAGGTATGTTTCAGTTTTTTGTTTTCCTAATGCATTCTAGTCGTAATTTTGCCTGCTTAAATATCACTGTTGTTCAAGACTGGCACAAAATAAGCATTGCTAACATTTAACTGAAGTGTCACAGTTGAAAGAGCAGAAAACTTCAAGCTTATTACCTAAACATTAAAGAAAGATGTTACGTTCATTTAATGCACAGAATATCAAGGATGCCTTGAAGGTGTTGTCTAGGTACAATATAACTCCCAAAGCTGCAGTAACTGGCTACAAGAGTACAGACCTTGTGGCTCTTGAGGCTCTATCTCAGAGTAGTCATGGGCAGTGGAGTCATCGGCTAGGTAGCCTCCGTCTAGCTGAGGAAGCAGAGGCAGAGGTGGCAATGTGGAAGGTGGTGGTGGACGCCCCAGAGCCAGTGGGGACCTAAAACAATATATAATCTATGAATTTACTTAGAAAAATTCCATTAACGATGAATGAAAACAAGAAAATATATATTGAAGTGTACACAATTTCAGTACAGTACAAGATATGTGGAAACGCAGACTAAATTAACAAGGATTACAGAAAGCTCTGTGATGGCTTCACACAAATTTAAGTTGAAGTTTATGGTTAAATAACAGTAAATTCAGTGCTAAAGGTGAAGAATGAGAGGCCATAACATAGGATATTAAGAAGGGGCAATACCCTAAGTAACTAACCTATGTGGTGGCGGTGACAGTGGTAAAGGTGGGGGAGAATGAGGCACTGCTGGTGGTGAGCGAGGACGAGGATGAATTCTTACACTTCTTGAAGTTGTGCGTGAAGTTCGTGAAGCCTGGCAGGCAAAGAAAAATGATAAATTACTATATACAAAACTAAATTATAACTAAAAAAAACTCAACAGAACGTACAGCTGGCTAATGCCAGCTGTATGTTCTGTTGAGAATGGTTTATTTCCTTGAAATTAGGATTACCTTAATTACAATAATAATTAATTTGCAAGACAGTACAATGGGTCGGTGAAATTACATAGGTTTGGTATTTTTACATTCATGCAAAGTCACTAACACGCATAGCGTTTCGGGCAGATCCTTAATTTAACATACCAGGTAAGATGAAAGGGTACATTGTAGTAAGTGTTTTATATCAACAAATAACTACAATATAAGTTGACAAGAGGTGATTACACTGGCAAGGATATGTGTCTTAAGTACTAATATTGGGGAAGTGGGTAGTACAAGATACAGTGCAAGTTTGAAGCACAAGGTAGGAAACTATGAGGATGAAATTAGGTACTTTTTGATTTTACTTTTGAACAGGGCATGGGTTGGAATTTTTTTTTAATTCATTAGGGAGCGAGTTCCAAATATTGGGCCCTTTTATTTGCATGGAGTGTTTGCACAGATTAAGTCTAACTCTGGGGATATTATAGAGAGATTTATTTCTGGTGTGGTGCTCATGGGTTCTATTACATCTATCAAAGAAAAGTTTCAGATCAAGATAAGCATTTAGAACCAAGGTTTTGTACATGAAGATAGCACATGAGTATGAGTGGAGTGAGTATGTTTAGTATGTTAAGGGACTTGTGACTACATATTGGTGTCTGTCACTGAGATACAAATGAATATTATCCAGAGCAAGGCCTAGAATACCATAGTGGTGAAGTTTAAGTAAGAGATAGCTATGGTTTACAGTATCAAAGGCCTTTCTCAGGTCAATGAAGAGGCCAACTGGGAACTCATTTTTGTCAAGGGCAGTGTAGATTATATGAAGCAGACTAATAATGGCATCATTGATACTCTTTTGGAAATGGAAGCCAAACTGGCAGGGATTTAAATTGAGTTTTACAAAGTAGGAATAGAGCTGTTTGTAAATAATTTTTTCAAATATTTTTGAAAGTATAGGTAGATTTGATATTAGTCTGTAATTGTTTAAGTCAGATGTCTTGCCTCCTTTATGAACTGGCATCACTTTTGCTTTTTTAATGATAAAGAAAAATATGACTAGAAATTTGTTGAATAGCAGAGCTATGGGTAATGCAAGAGCAGGGGCAGCACTCGTATATAATCATGGATGGTATTTCATTAAAGTTCCCAGCTTTGGTTTTAAGTGATTGAATAATGGATATAATGTCTGTCAGGCTGAGAAGTAATAGGAGTAGAGTTAGTTCTTGGTTTACCACATTTATTACCTTGAATTTGATACCCTGGTAAATGTTTGTCCTGGGTTAATGTATCCCTAGAATTTATGTTGTTCTTGCAGTCACTAGACTGCTGACATCCTAAGGTGGTCATGGTTGACAGTCAAGGTGGTGTGATAGAGGCGTGCTTCAAGACAAATTAGCCAAAGAACATCAACTTGTAGTGCGGAATGCCTATGTTTTGTGACTCATTAATATTCTCATTTAGAATCATTATACATTTACTAGGTCATGTATACAGACAAAGGGTAAGTAGTTATACTGTACATATGCAAAATTAAAGAAAGCTAAGGATATTAATAATAATAATTCATTGTGTCGGGGGACAGGAAGCCAGAGTGTATTGTGAATATGAACATGACAGCGAGATGTGAGGGAGTGGCATTTGTATATATTAATTGAGTAAACACTATATTTGTTTTAGAATACTGTACTGTATATAAATGCAGAACATGTCAGGATCACATTAGGATTTGGTAAGACCCTTTATTGAATGTTGTATTCGTGTTGACAGGATGAATCGCTAGTGGGCAATTACAACAAATAGGCAATGAAACACACTACTTGGCTATGGAACACTAGACACGTAAACTGAATGTTAGAATAATGACTAAAGGTAACTGATAGTTTAACATCCTGGTGGCTAGAGGCAGGTGCTAGTATACATTATGTAGCTTATGCATACTTGTGATATACAGTACTATATATAGTTATATACTAGTGATATATATGAAGCATAATTGTGGTAAGTGCCAAGCTTAGACCTAATTGAAAGGATTCTCATCATGTTGATACTGTATTTAATAGAGGTTTGTGAAAAATATAATACATATCATATACTGTACAGTATAAAGTAATACTGTACAATATTCTTAATATATACAAGAGCATACTTATATGTATGCTATACATTGCACAATAAATGTGATTGGGAGATAACACACCATGGATACTTGGGATCGTCCAGAAAGTGTCCGATGGACAGGTCTGCGTACAAATGAAGATCTTCGTGATGCCGCATCCGCTTCCGATAAGCGGGCAATTTTAGCCTCCTCTGCTGCCTCTACAATGTCTGTCTTCAGTGCTGAACTCAACAGCTGATACCCCAAAGCAAAGATGGGATAAGTTAGGTTAGTTTAGTTAGTATGACTAAAACAGTGTAACTAAGTGCAATCCGCTGGTGGAAATATTTGCAACTTATATAATGAGGCAAAGTAATCAAAACACCAGTACCACTTGTCATTAATTCTGTGGATGCACTATATAAAAGTACAGTAACTATATTTACAGAGGTTCATACAAATTGTCATGCATATACAAGAAGTAAATAGATCATTGACTGGACATATCTGACACTGCCATTCCTGGAGAAACATGCAAGAATGTCACTATACATACATAGAGTACATATCTAGCACTCACCTTTCATCTAGGAGCGTTTCATTATTTACCAGAGAGTAGTAGTCACATTGTTGAAAATTCTATGAACTCCTTTGAAGAATCATACCTCTCACCCACACATTCATGCTCCTTTCCTTCCATTTAGATTTTGTCACTACATTTTTATAGCCATGTTCACATAAAATCAAAGTCAACCTATCATTGTTGATTGTCTGCATGGCCAAACCACACAAGAACTACTACTACTCTCGTTTGTCTTTACTATTCTCTCTACTCCATAAATATGTCTCGCATTATTTGTTCTTGCTCGAACCAGATGCACTTTCCTCAAATCCATTTCTGCCATTTCTAATGTCTCTTAATTTTGCATTAAACAAGCAGTTTCATTTCATCAGACTTGGCAGACCTATAGCTCCCAAATACATTCTTGTAAATTTTAGACTGTATTCATATCTGTACCTTTCAGTAAGCTCCTCACAATGTCTATCACGTAACTTTAATATACAAATTACACAAGCTGATGTCACAAACTGTGCACAAGCGTTACAAACACAAACATACATGGTCCATATAATTTTTTTTTTCAACCTTTCATTTGATTGTAACCTTCATCTCGCTCGCTTTACACCAAAATTCTTCACTATACAAAGGTCTGACAGCTTCCAATTAGCCTTCTCATTTTGGTGTCAAACACTAATTTTTTCATTCTGCTGCCAACAACTATGAAAGCAAAAAATGCTTTCTATCAACTAACAGCATGCACTAATTGTGCAAATCTACTTTTGCCAGAAAAGTGTATTAGTTGTGCTTAAATTATATTCAATACTCATCTAGTAAAGTTTTCCTTTGTCCTTCCAATATAGACTACTCTTCCTTAACTATCATATGTCATATATACATACTCAATACGAGTGACAACACACACTTGCCTCTGACACTGTCATCCCTTGAGTGGTATCATCCTGAGGAGGTTCTTCAGGAATCTCTAAAGGTGCCATGCCCTCAAAGCCACCATAATCCTCAAACATGTAGTAGTCGCCAGATCGGATAGCTGAAAGAAGTGGAAATTATATCAGTACATACCAGCCAAGAGGTCGACAATGATAGCAGCAAACAATAAAGATATATCAACTGAAATTTCATAATTTTCTAATCAATTTTTCAGATATAACAATAATCTGCAAATTATCCTAATATGAATGTTTAAGCAGCTTTAAAATACAATTATTTAAAGATGTTATTGTTAGTTAACTGATGTAGAGTGAGTGATTTTTTGGAGGAAGGAATGTTCATATCAGCAACCTGTTTGCTGCTATAGCATTTCACACAAACAAATATTTGGTCACATTAATTTGCTATTCAAGAAGTTTATAATTACAATGCCATCTTCAAAATCCAGATCATATAATTTTGGGCCCAATTCAAAGACGCAAGAAATTATAACTTACAAAACTTAACCTTTTTTCTGTAACACAGTTTATCTCAAAGTATTTTGTAATTTTCTTATAACAAATAATTTGTGTCAAACTCAAAATGACAACCATAGAATTTTGTTTTGACTATGCTGAATGGCTTTTTATAGTTACAAATTTCCCTTTCTAAGGTTGTGTCCATTCAATAAAATCTTTAAAGCTAATTCTAAGCAATATTAACCATAACAAAGGCTAACCATTAACAAATATCAAGGCTATCTTCAAAGGCTACACCTCAAGTGGCCTCCTAGAATGTTTTTCTGACAACTTTCATCATCATACCATCCCAAAACACTGTGTATTACTGGTTTAACAAGAATGTAAGAACACCAATGTTATGTACTCTCACAACCCATTGTACCTTCTTGTATATGAATAAATAAATAAATAATAAATCCCCCAGCCTTGCTTTGTCAAGCTTAGTTTAGTTTCCTACTCGCATATTCTCTTCTTTGTGAAATTAGTCATTGTCTAGGTTCCCATGTTACTTTCTTCTCTTGTTGAACTTATGGTCTTATGTTAAAGTTAAACACTCACATACTCTACTTTGTACCTTCGTTAGTTACAGACTCGTGCACTTGACACTTTGTCGCCTTTACCATAATTTTCTACCATGATAATGCTTGTTTTTATGAAATGTTACATTCAGTTATTAATGTTACTTTTCCCATGTTATTTCTTACTTTTTTACTATTATAATTTACCCCCATTTATCAAACCTTGGCTGGAAAGACCAAATTTTGATTTAATAATGCTCACTGGCTATTGGTATACGATAACCTCATCGCATAGCAATAAATTAAAAATGAACTCAGAATTTTGTTATGGGTCTAGGTTAACTCTCTACATCCATATAGATGTAATATAACCATATTGCCCGTCATGCCCGAAACGCTTTGCGTAATAGTGGCTTTAGGCATTGTATGTACTAGCTCTACCTATAAGTCAACCAATCTTTGTAAAAATTTATTGTATGTATGTACCTTACCTAAATAAAATATTATTATTATTATTATTATATTTACATTATTTGTATAAAACTTGGTAATAATAACTAAAGCTAACATATGATAACTGTATTACCCTGGGGATCAAAGTATGATTACTTTAAGAGTTAGAGGCACAATTTATACCCTTCTTTTTTCCAAGCTCCATGCATGAATTTTATCGAGCGAAACCTTAATTTTAACCCCTTATATGAGAGCATTCAGGATTTCACCGCAACCAGTAAAAAATCTGGATCTAAACTCCAACAAATTTGAACATTTAGAATGGTTGATACAGTAGTAAAACTGGGCCTTTATTTAGTGAGATCACCTAATGGAGGTCTGTATTTTGGAAGTGGCATTGTAACTTGTGTATCATTTAGGGTTGTGTATGCTTGAATCTGAACAAATGAACACACACACAGTCAGCAAATGTGTACAGTATTTCAAAAGCATGCTCACTAATTGCTATTACAAGAGTAACTAACAAATACTAGTCAGCATTACAATAAACAGTTTTCATACACAGTATCACTTTTGGCATTAAAATCTATTTATTGTAAAGATAATTTCAAATGTTTAAATGGTTTAAAATATTGCAGTTTTAGATAACTGAAACACTGCCAAAATAATCTTAGGCTGCTGAATATACAAATTACTTATGATGCTAAATATGAATACAGTAACCTTAACATTGAAGAGAGATTACCCATTGTAATATGTAAATATTTATGTTTATTGTTGGCATGAAGTGAGCATGCTCTTTTGTTAACAAGGGAAGAAATGTATTCCTCTATTCTCGAGTTCGCACGAAGACATCTGACACGACATAATACAACACAGTTGAAGTATAGGAATGTAGAGCTTCATGGATTAGAAATTATTTTCTGCTTACTCAAAGAGGTTAGTTAAGAAAATGTTAGTTGACATAATGATAGTCAACACAATGTAAACATTTGACAATAAACGCAGACAAACAGTCAAAGAAATAATTAGTAAAGAGTTCACATGAAGATTCTGGAAGATCAAATAAATTTTTTTATAAACAAAAAAATCATGAGAAAATATTTAATGTTAGATTATACAGAGAAAAATAAGCAAATGTATGTTATATGCCGCTCCTGCTTGGTAAAATCCCTTCCTTATCATTCCTCGGTAACCAAATTCTGAGCCAATAGCCCAAAATTCACACGAGGCTTACATGATAAAAAGATGTGTGGTTTTATTCTTTAACATAACTATCTGGAAAAATGCGCTGTAGAATTTTCATTAAGAAACACATTTACATGTACTGTACTGTACTGTGCATATTTGTATACCGCTATTTATTTATGCAGTAATTTCCCCCTCCAGAGTTCATCTCATCCGGGCCTAGGGATGCACACGTTCAATAAACGACTTTTATGACTTCATAAGCAATGACCAAAACTACGGATTTTAGTGTGTGATTATTAAACCTCGACTGGCTGGAATGGTTACCTTTTTATATATCAACAATTGAGATTCAAACTCGCAGCACTCCACAGGAAAATACCTCATGTGATGGTGTGAGTCGTTATATACACCATGCACTATAAAATTAGCAGGCTTAGTACAAGACAAGAGAACAACAGCCTCCTCCATTAACACTGCCCAAAACAGAGATGACTGCCTAGCGATTACTTTTCAAGGTGGATGATAGAGGGGGCACTGGGAATTATGGGAGGTTACCATGCATGGGAATGTCAGCAGATTGTTGAACAGGGTTTCCCATGGTGATGCTCTGCCTCATTCGCTCCAATGCTAGATGGTCAAACTGCTCCGTGGGATTTATGTGATCAACAGTGAAGCTCTTTCTTACAGGCAGAAATGACATATCTGCCGCAACTGTGACAATGCATAATTTCTGAGCAATTAAGTAATAGTGCTTTAAAGGTACTTTGGGAAGATTTACCATCAATTTAATGGTCAATGCCATTTCCAGAAAACTAATAAAATTTTGCCAAAAAGTAGGGAATGGAGACAAGTGATAAACCTTTCCTTGAATATGTTCTATAAAATATTGACCGAAAGTAATATGCATTAACCCTTAAAGTGCAACTGTCATCATAGGTGCCACCTTGCCTTGGTGTAAGGGGGGGAGGGGGGGGGGAATTTAGTAAAATAATACATTTGAATTTAAAAATTAATGAAAATGCAAACAAATAAATATCTAAATTTCTGCTTTAATGCAGATTGGGAAGACAGCTGGGTGGGGACTCATTGTCTGTGGATGACACAGTATAACACCCATTGTCAGGGACAAAGCCAGTACTGTACCTAGGCTTATTGTGGTCTCCCTTAAGATAACTTGGGACCTATCCCTGGATGCAATTCACAACAATCACCTATATCCTGAGTACCTTTTTTACCGCTTTGTAAATAGAAGTACAGTATCAGGTGAAAGGAAACGTGCCTATCTGTTTCCATCCCGCTTGAGGATTGAACTTGGATCCCTCGATTATGAGACAACAATGTAGATTACAATACTGTGCTACAGGACTTCCTATTCAGTTTGATGACTCATCATGTGTGGGTGAGTCCTTATCTTCAAATTAGATTGCTTATATATTTGCCATTTCAGTTTAGTTTACATGTGTGGAATAACTAGATTTCTGCACACAACTGACAAAAACAATTACTGTAGACAGATCTTTAGTATAATATTTTCATAACACCTAGTTTATGGACTCCCTGGGGCCTTTGACAAGCCATCGGCTTCCTGTTCTCATCAAGGTCACTAGTGTCGGTGGCTCTTGGGTAAATTTAGGTATATTGCATATAAATCTGTTCCAGGCACATTTCATAGGAAATGTCTTGTAACCCACTCTGTTTCTACAATTCTGTCTGAGAACATTATCTATTAAAAGATTCAAACACAGGTGGGAAAAACACTAAACTGTGATTTGAGGATAATCACAGGTCACTGGAACACAATAACCTTACTGCATAATAAGTAATTATAGCTCTAGTAGAATTTTTCATAGCTCTCGGTAATTCTATCATAAAGATGTTATTTTATAGATGTATTTTAGCCGTACTGTATTTACATTCATTTGTATAAAAACTGGCCAATGACTAAAATATAAAAAAATTGAAATTGCATTACCCTAGGATCAAAGTACTGTATGGCGATAACTGCATTTTAAGGGTTAACGTTATTTAATTATGTAATGGAGGGCCGAGAAGGAGGCAGTTAAAATAAATACGTCTGTAATAGTGACTGAAACTGAATGGCAAGACGATCATAATGGGGACACCTGAGCAGAGGATATCCAAAGCTGTAAAACAAAAAAATGATTGGTAACTGTGTATATGTTGAAAATAAATATACTTGCATAATATTTAATTGTAATTTGTGATTTTATACCATCATAAAATGTAACTAAAGTATTTGGTAATGGAGAATAATTGAAGCTTTAATGAATATTCCAAATTTATCATTGAATTAGAGACTTTAAAAAATTAGCACCTAAAAACAAAATAAACAAAAAACCTGGAATCAATAATAAAATTATAAATAGAGCACATTTAACAGAAGTTACAAAACACTGAAACAACAAACATTCAAACTGTCAGAAAGGATGGAGAGTAAGGTAACAGAATCCATTATCAACTCCCTTGTTGTGTTATTGATCTTGGTTATAATCAACAACAACTAGGAGACAAAAATTCTGATACTAGTATTGGAATAGCATGTGGTGCATTTTTGTAGACTATATAGAAACTTTTTCTGATGTTGGTGTATATGTCTTAGTATACAATGGGAAAGAATTCAAACTTATTCTGTGTGTTTACTATGGGAATGTGTAATAACCATGCAAAATATTTTTAAATCAGAGAAGGACATTACAGGTGTGGTGGGACATGGCTGGCGACGTAGTGGAGACGGAGGGGCGGTGGTACGTCAGGTGCTCTCTCAGCCAAGGGGGACCAATGTCATGAGTGGCAGGAGCGGAGGCTCGGGTAGGGGCATGGCGGTCCCGCAAAGCAGGATAAGGCGGAGGGGAGAAGAAGGGGAAAGACTCCTCTGATGGGGAAGTGATGGGCTGGTGCGAGAAGTGTGGGGTGGTAAGGGAGAGTCGCGCAGGTTCCAGGTAGCCATCCAGGGAGAAGGTCATGTTAGCAGAGGACGGGGTGGGTGCTCCTGGAGTGGCACTAAGGGCGTGGGGGCGGGGGGACGACAACCCGTGCACGTCATCCACACCTGCGGAGGGGGGCAGGGGAGGGGACGAGGTCATCTCCAAAGGTAGGGGACTACTGACATTGGAAAACTGTTCCGAGGTGTTAGCTGCAACAAGGATAAACACGGGTATTAGAAACATGCACTGCCAATACCTCATCTTCAAAGGAAGACTGATACATGGTATGGCACGCATGCTTCTTTTACAGGCACAAATTTACGTCAGCCACAGATAAAACACATTCGTGAAAATTACCATCCAAAGGCAATATATATAACAGCCTAAGCTTTAACTAATACAGAGGCATAAGGGAAGAATGGGTATTCAGGCTAATAAGAGGTTACTCCATTATTGTCCTAATGAGTCCAACAGTCATTTGTGCTAGGAAGTATTACTCTGTTCATGCAATAATTGACTTTAGTCATAAATAGTGTTTTGAAATGCTAGTCATGTGATCCTTTCACAGGGATGACATATCAGTTACATATGAATTATTAATTCAAAACCAAAAGTAAGGCATAATCCAGATAGTAAGATCACCTGCTGAAAGATTTGACAACAGTAATATCAAAGCAGAATGTGGTCCTCCCTACACAGTGACACTAACATAGATGAAAATTTTCTTACTGTACATATAGTAACTTAAAATTTGTCACAGTTGCTAATACATCCAGTAACAAAGAAAAATAAGGCTTTCAGTGAACACGAAAAGTTCTTTCCTGAGCTATTGCATAAGTTACTTCTACTAGTAAGATCTCTTGTCAGGCAGGACAACATACACGACTGGCATCGATGCCCCCAGGCAATTTCCGAACATTTCTGTAGGCTCATGTTAATGCTAGGGAGTCACTTAGGAATACCAAGTAACTAATTATGTAAGGAAGGTGCCATGCCTGGAAGACTATTTAGCTGAATGGAGAATATTAAATCCATTCCAGAATGACCAATGTAATAATTTCTTTCTTTAAAAAAAAAAAAAAGATGGTGGAAGGCTGCAGGTAGTGATCAGATAATGAACAAGTCAGCAGAGCAATACTATGTGATCCCTTAGAAGTAAAGTATTTCTTGGAGGAGGTATTTTGAGTTTAGGTGAATGTATTTTCTGGAGGTTATTCTGGGATGGATTGAGAATGCTCTAATATCTCCCTTCCCCATTCATGGTCCAGTAGGAGTAGCTTGAAAAGACCCCACAAGTGAAAGAAAGCTGCATAGGCCAAACTGGATTTTCTTTCTCTCCCAGGAAGAGGTGGATTTTCCCTAGAGGAATGGCCAAGTGATTAAGTTTGTAAAATGCTACATGGTACATAGTCTCTCATGCATGAGAACGATAATTGATGCCCACAATCTTGCTTTAAAAATTGAGTCAACAGATATTAGTGGCTGGATTTCTTTTGCCAATGTTGCTTATTTCTTAAATCTTCCTCAAAATGTTTTGTCTCTTGAAGGCTGTCCCACAACAGCTGAGTGTCTAACATTTCTATCACAATAATAGCACATACAATATCATTTGAATTTTCTTGATATGATGAGCTGTATATTATACACGAAAGCATCGATGAAGCAATTTAAGATTAAAACAATCATTTATATACAGTATTTACATTATTATACTATACAGAATATCATGCTAAAGTGTATATAGAGGTGAATAAAGTGAACACTGCTTCACTCAAACCAACCCAAAACCCTCAACCCAACCAGGAACCCCTTAATCCACCCTGGAACCCTCAACCCCAACCCAGAACCCTCAACCCAACCTGGAACCCCTTAATCCACCCTGGAACCCTCAACCCCAACCCAGAACCCCTCAATTCAGCTTGGAACCCTCAAGCCAATATTAGTGCATCTTGTTGCATCTGTTTAGTCAACCTAGATGCATCACCTTGGCTTCAGCCTCCTTGTAACCCTTCTGTTAATGCCAAAGCTTTACCTAGTCAAGGGTCAGTATACAGTCTTTTGCAATACATGTAATTCTCAGGCAGCCAAATTCATATGCATTTTGCACACTAAAAAATATGGCCTTTTATCTATAAGAAGTTTGAGATTCTAAACAGTCACTATCATGAAAATTAATAACTCTCCATTAGTTAAATTAAATGATCCAATACACTCAGTACCGGAGCTCTCAGGAGCCAATCTTTTTTTTTTTACACATGAATTCATAACCAATGTAGTTCACAGTTAGAAAAGTCCTAAAGGGCCTGCAAGTTATTCGTGTTAAATACCTTGGGTATAATTTGACATGCACAAGAGCTAAATGAGGAATAAAGAAAATAGAAATATGAAAATGGTAACCTTCTTATTTGTGTCTAGCAACAATAACTAATTAAAAGGCATGCAACCATGTGTAATCTGGAAGTGGAACATACAACAGGCATCTATCTGTACAAATACAATTTCGTCTAAAGATCTGTAAGGCAAAAACACGTGTACATCAAGATGACTGACACACAAGCTGGCAACACCACAAAGCTCTACATGAAGTTCACTCAGCTGTATCAGGCTACTAAAATGAAGATAAATTGCCATTAACTTGCACAGGGAACACAATTTGTTGAAAGCAAATATTTATTTTTGAGTACATGTGATCAAAATCACAACTCATAAATTTGTAAAAGAATGAAAGACAGACGGATGACTTTTTTTCTTTTCTTTTTTTAAGTTTTGTTTCCCATGGGAACACTTCCTTCCCTGAAGGGTCCCAGTAATGTTCTCATCCAGATGCTTCAATGACCTTCAAATATTAAAGATTGTTGATGGAACACTTGAAATATTTTCAAGTGAATAATTCCTGATAGTCTAGCTATTGAATTTCCAGAATAATATATCAAGGATATTGCAATGCATTTACACATTAATAATACTGTAATTATAAAACTACATTTTTAATACAGTATAGTAAACCTCTCGCTGAGCAAACTTCACGAGTAGAATGTGCTGTGTATGGAATATACCTCTGTATATTAAATATTTATAGGCCATAGATACAATGACAGTGGTGACATACCAACCTTGCATTAATTATTATTAATTATTATACGAAGCAAACAGCACCACATTTGACACACTAAAGTTTGATGCGGCACATCATGAAGTACTATGCTATGAGGTACTTGCCTTCATATATGCAGAATAGATACCTTTGCAATCCTCAACTAAATAATACTTGACACCTATGAGTTTTTAAAAGTAGTAATTACATTCATAAGAAATGTACATTAATTTCATTATAAAATGTATAACACGACACATCAAACTAAACTGTTTGTCAGTAACTCACGATTCTGCTGTAAACGATTCTGTTATATTAATTGCGGATAGAAACATGGTAAGCATGTGTCAGTCCTGCAATACCATATTCAGAATACAGTATTGATTGGTATTTCAGCTGTAACTTACATCCTCTGAACCGTGATCTAAATAAAACATCTATTATAAAGTTTTACATAAAATATGGATTCACTGTATTATGCACTCAAAATTTTAAGTACATTGTCATTTACCAGTCACAAATTAAAATTACAATTTCTAGAATAAAAATGCTTTGAGTGTTTATGAAAATTATATTTTTGGGTGATTCACTCAACTGCTCACTAGGACAGATTTCCAATATCTCAATATGAAATGTACACGTAGTGTGCAGTCAGGCATGGCGAGATTTCAGCATCAGTGTCATAAGGAACATTTCAAGCAGACTTTACAGGGCACCACTGCTGGAGGAAACCCACTTTAAACAGTCTATGCAGGATACTGGCATAAAATAAGATTTAAAGTGGTTTGTGCAGAACACCATCACTGTAGGGAATAATTAAGGTGGTTTCTGCAGGGTACTGACAGAATAGGAAAAGGCCAGGTGGGTAAACTAGCTGTTAACTCAAACATTTGTCAGTCTCTGATGCTAAGGGAAGATTGGAAGAGTTTTCAGTTTTATAAATTGGGCCTTCCTGTGGTCATTCACACATTTTTTTGATCTACAATGCTTCCTAGTACCATTATGGTCCTATAGAGATTGCACAAAATGTTCCCTGCAGCACCAGTACCTTACAGACAGTGCATGAAATGTTCTCTGAAGCACCAGTACCCTACAGACAGTGCATGCAATGTTCCCTGCAGCACCAGTACCCTACAGACAGTGCATGAAATGTTCCCTGCAGTACCAGTAACCTACAGACAGTGCATGAAATGTTCCCTGCAGCACCAGTACCCTACAGTGCATGAAATGTACCCTACAGTGCATGAAATGTTCCCTGCAGCACCAGTACCCTACAGACAGTGCATGAAATGTTCCCTGCAGCACTAGTACCCTACAGACAGTGCATGAAATGTTCCCTGCAGCACCAGTACCCTACAGACAGTGCATGAAATGTTCTCTGCAGCACCAGTACCCTACAGTGCATGAAATGTTCTCTTGCAGCACCAGTACCTTACAGACAGTGCATGAAATTATCCCTGCAGCACCAGTACCTTACAGACAGTGCATGAAATGTTCTCTACAGCACCAGTACCCTACAGACAGTGCATGAAATGTTCTCTACAGCACCAGTACCCTACAAAAAATGAAATGTTCCCTGCAGCACCAATACCCTACAGAAACGGTTTGACATGTCCCCTGTGGACAACTGAATGTTGTGTACACTAATTCCTTCTTTAAACAAAATCATTTTCAACCAGGATATGGCCCTAAACATAACTTTAAAAATATACGATTTTGTTGTACTCAATATGAGGCAATACTGTACTTCATTATTTTCTCATTGCCCAAAATGCTGTGCATATTAGTGGCTTTAGGCACAGGCATAGTATGTGCTAGCTCTATCTAGAAATCCAACATTCTGTTTGTATCTTGTATGTATATACTTTTACCTGAATAAACATTTTATTTTATCTTTTTTTATTTTATTGTATAACCCACAGTAACAATGAATTTTATAATTTCTATTAATAAAAACAAATTTAAAATTTGCATAGCTTACACTTTCAATTTAATTTTCATAGTTGTGAAAACTACTTTATAAAATAATCTTTTAATACATTTTAACTGCCACAGCCAGTTAACACAATGTTCACAAAATGCCCATGGGAACTCTGTCAATTAGAAACACCACATCTGTACTACCTAATGTCACTGTTAGTTTGTCTTACACTAGCTAATGTGTCACTGTATTAGTTCACTCTTACACTAGTTATTTGCTCTTAGTTATAAATTTTAAACTACAGTATATCAGGCAGCAATACAAGCTGATCATTCTTCCAAATGAAGAATAATTGAAGGCTCTCGAGTGAAATGTGTTACCAGTATGAATCTTACCTTCATAATGGCTTGTTGGCTCCCGGGTCTGCTGACTCTGCACAAGCTGCTGAGACGCCTTGATTCGCTCCATTTTCTCTTTGATTTTGTTAAGAACTTCCCGCTCTGCTGCCTGCTGCTCGGCTATCTCTTTCTGCATTAATTCTGCTATTAACTCAGCACCCCTTTAGGTTAAGAAGACAATAATTTAAAAACCACATTTAAAACTTGTTTACTCTATACATATAAGAATATTGTATTTTAATTAAGACAGAACACTATCTTTAGTTTTTGCATTAAAGTTAGATCCTGAAGCTGTAAAATACACAAGAAAATGTACAATGTACGGGTACTCTATTATATGTATATATATTTTCTTGTTTTTGAAGTTTGAATTAGGGTGTTGATATTTTGTCTGAAGCTTGACTTCAATAAATCAAGCACTGAATGTAATGACATTTCTGATGGACCACTCGCTAGTTCCCTGCAACTAGCGTACCAGGGAACTAGCAAGTGGAACTAGCATTACTTTCTATAAGGCAAAGGAAGCTTGGGGATCAGTAAGTAATCCAGTACCAAGAAAAAACCTAAAAGAATATGTGCATCAAAATAAGTAAAGCTTTAATGAAATTAGTAGCCCTGAGGAAATAATAACAATCATTGTCGCAGGGCTGAAAAGGCATGGAGTCTGAATGCTTTGATCCTCCTGTGCCCTAGAGAGGCTTTTGATAACCAAAATTCCCTTCCCCTTATCTCCAAAGCTTTCCACTCCATATTGAGTGGCAAGACAGTGACTAACTGTAGATGAAAAATGGGAAAGGAAATATTGGAAAAGGAAGCAATAGTTTTAGGTAAAAGTAGGCATATGAAAGGTATGCTTCATAAAAGCAGCCGTGTAAGAATGTGGAAGGAGTCTAGCAATGATAAAATATAGGAGAGTTTGAGTGACAGGGGCAGGGTAATGAAATGTAGAGCTGTGGAGCGGGTGAAGCACAATGCACTAATGATATGGACAAGTTAGAAGGATGCCAAGAATCAGTTTAACTAGAAGGGTGCACTAAAGTGAGATAAGATATCATATGGTAGAGGGAGGCCACGAATAACTTATAAGGGAAGAATGGAGCAATATATCAGAGAAAGGGCATGTATGAGGAGGTGGGGGAAGGCAGAAAACTTGATAGTAAAAGGTTTGTGTGATGAAAGAGGCTCTGAGAAACTACTTCTGTGGCCACAAATATAGGGAGCTCCGGGAGGCAAGTAATGTGTCGGGGCTATAGATACTATATATCTGAAATATTGTTAGAAAGTCAGGAAAACAATAGAAACATTTAATACTAAGTACAATTTAATTGTACATCCACAAGTATTAAGGCAACACAGTTGAAGTGTTACTTAAAGATGGTTTATAGTGACATTATTATTTGAAGTAACAAGAACACCAGAAGTCATAAACCACCAAACACAAAACACACACCTCTAATGGCAATGCTTAATTAAGATAAGTTTAATTTTGACTTATCCCATCTTATATTTAGACACTAGTTATTTTTAAACCAAAGAGTGCCCTGAAAGAAAGTTTCCATTATACTTTAACCGTAATCAAAATAGAAGTTTTGCTGGTGTTACCTAGAGGCTAGTTTGGTCTGAGCCTTCATTTCTGTGACAAGGTGCTGGAAGTAGAAGGAGGAGAATAATCTCCGTTGCATCAAGAGGAATCCGAAGCAGATGCCATCCCACATGAGCCCTGCTTCTGACTTAGGAACTGCACATTGGTCAGCCAAATCTGCAAAAATCCATAACATTCTAATATTTAGCACAGCACTAATATGGATGAAATATTTGTGAAATAATTCTTAAGTAACATGTATACATTTTATAACAAAAATACTAAACTGAATATACTAAATATATATTTTTTAAAGCAAGCAGGGCATAAGTGTATCTCACAAAGATTTACTTTATCTTGAGCAAAAATACAATTTTATTCCCTTATGTTTCAACTGCTAGAATAATATATCTAGAAATAAAATACAGGTAACTCAACATGCTTGCATTCCAATGACGTGCATTTGTGTCATTCACTACTGTTTGCTTTACTGTCTGATGACACGACTGAGATGCCATCCGACCTAAAATTTCACAAATTTTGCTTCCTTAACCATTCTCGTTGCACTCTTGAATACCACATGTCAAGTACTGAATGAGCAGAGCTTATGGCAACAATACTGGGTACCACATGTCCACTCCACGTGTCCCTTGGCTAGTCATATATCTTCACCAATTTATTTATTCCCAATAACCCATTTAACTGCATTTCACCTGTGATTTATTGAGAGTTTCATTGTTATGTTATTGTAGTAACATTTTGGGCTGTAACTCTGACAGTATATATGAGGCCATAATGGAGCAGAAAAGAACAATTTATCAAATAATTATCAAGATGGTGAAAGGGATGAGCATTAGCACACACATTTGATCTCGGGAGCATTTCTATCCTTCCTAGAAAAGACAGACTAGCATGTAAAATGTGTGCTTTGCTGAAAAATTCAGAAAATGTGTAATTCAAGAGTGATATTGACTCCCTAGTAACCTTATAACCCTCAAGGGCTCTTTCCAAAGATCCTGTGGAACATCCCTGTAGTGTCTTTGGCAGCACATCACACCTAGCTGTAATGTTCATGATGCTTTCCTTTGGATACACTGGATAACATCCTATCATTAATAACATTACACAAATTATCATACTAACATTAAAGTATGTAGTAAAAATTCATATACTGTAATACAATAATCAACATTAGCCAAAATATCACAAATTTATGGAAGGTGTACTATTGTCAAATGTTATTCTGTATACAGTAACAAATATAAATGCTAGAATAATTATCACAGCTGAAAACATAGGGAGAGTTTATCTCATTATAACTCACCTTCTACAATCTTATCATCAGAATCATCTCCAAATTTCTTGACACAGGCTATACCGAAGAGCTGAACAAGCCAGCATACGTTCTCGGAAAGTGGTGATAGGAAAACACACCCCAGCAGCTGCAATAATGTCTTCACCACGACTACGCCTACATTGTATCCAAGTAAGTAATTCCACCTGTCAAAAATCAAAGCAAGCTATACTATGCTGTAGTTAACACACATTTCTACATTATATTGTAGTTAACATTTAACCCAAAATTTTACTGATATTAATACACAATGCTGTATTTTATATACAATCCTACACTATAGTGTAATTAATATACAGTTCTACATTGTTGTTCCTATTACTGCATTTATCGTACTTATATAAACCATAATTATTATAGTCCTTGAGAAACAAAAATTTGAACTTATAAGCTTATCAACAAAAACATTATTTTGGACAAAATTATTACAATATTATACTGCACAACAGTTCTTGTACATACTTTACACATTTATTTATTACTTTTTATGAGAGATCCTAAACTATTTTAGTCTCCATTCTCTAATATGAAATTTGAATGAAATTAGCATTCTCTAATATGATGCTTGCTTGAGAAGTAAGCATCTCAATATCAACCCATCATAAGTGTTTCCAAAGCATAGAATATCCTTGTAAATTACAAAGATGTTTACTTACCAGGAAATTTGACATTTTATTACAAAATATAACCCAATATTGAGCTGTGTTTTTTTTATAATGTGTTGTATATATAATAAAAATTAAAATCTTTGTCAGCTACCAGTCACTATTATTTTTATAGTGCTGGTAATGGTAACCAAGTCTTGAATAAGAGGGAGACAAAATGTGTACCCTCGAGTTCTTCACTCCCTCTACCCCCTTCCCCAATTCATAAAAATGCTAGTCTTTATTGGTACAAGGTCACACAGCCTGTCCTCTCGAGATGTCACAACAGACAGGAAATGATGCGCCGAATTAACTAACCCTTACCTAACCAACCACCCCCCCCCACAAAGAAAACGAACTCTTGTGAGCCGCTATGACTTATAATACATCATATTTTGTCTGTTGTGGATTTTGAAGTCAAACTGCAATGCATTATTCGAGAGGATGGGTTGCACTCAAAGCCTGGCATGAAGTCAGTATCATCCAAAGTGGTTTTGACAATCCACCTTCCTGTCGAGGTCATTAGTTGCATGTTGGCCCATGGGTAAATCCAGGTAAACTCACAAACGAGTTGAGGATCTATTGAGGGGGCCTTACACAGAACCACTAACTCATCACAAAGCATTAGAGATGGTCTAGCAGACTTACAATCTGAGAATGGTAGAGAGTGGTCGAAGATAGAACTCATTCCCTTGCCACAAGAAGATGAAAGCTCCAAGAACATAACCCATGGCGAAGAGAGTAACACGGTTGGTACCTCCAAGGAACATGACGGCCAGAGTCACCCAGTAAGATGTGAAGAAAATCACTACCTTAACCATGTCCAAATAGTTCCTGCAAAAAATTATGGAGCTTACATATACAGTACTGTATGTCTGGGAAGAAAAATTTACAACTTCTATGCTAAAATTTCACCAGTTTTTTTATTATAAATAGATGATGTACAGTATAAATATATGTAGTGTAAATCGGAACAGATAAACAGAAATAAATGTACCGAATGAATACGGGAATATGTAATATAAAATTACAAGATATCGGGAAATTATAACTTTTACAATAGTTAGTTCCAAAAGTCACAGTAAGAATTACACATCAGGAAAATCAGAATAATTTCCATTTTGAATATGGAACAAAATTATTTCAAGAATAGCATTTCTTAGATCCTAATATTTATGGAGATACAAAAAATGTACTGAATGTTCTCTGTGAAATATGTTCAGGGAATATTTTCTCTTTATATATAAGCATCAAGGAGGAGATCTTGCCAAACCTAACAATGTGGTAAGTGATCTTGCCAAACCTAACAATGTGGTAAGTGATCTTGCCAAACATAACCATGAGGTAAGTGATCTTGCCAAACATAACCATGAGGTAAGTGATCTTGCCAAACTTAACTATGAGGTAAGTGATCTTGCCAAACATAACTATGAGGTAAGTGATCTTGCCAAACATAACCATGAGGTAAGTGATCTTGCCAAACTTAACTATGAGGTAAGTGATCTTGCCAAACATAACCATGAGGTAATGATCTTGCCAAACATAACCATGAGGTAAGTGATCTTGCCAAACATAACCATGAGGTAAGTGATCTTGCCAAACATAACCATGAGGTAAGTGATCTTGCCAAACATAACCATGAGGTAAGTGATCTTGCCAAACATAACCATGAGGTAAGTGATCTTGCCAAACATAACCATGAGGTAAGTGATCTTGCCAAACATAACCATGAGGTAAGTGATCTTGCCAAACATAACCATGAGGTAAGTGATCTTGCCAAACATAACCATGAGGTAAGTGATCTTGCCAAACATAACCATGAGGTAAGTGATCTTGCCAAACATAACCATGAGGTAAGTGATCTTGCCAAACATAACCATGAGGTAAGTGATCTTGCCAAACATAACCATGAGGTAAGTGATCTTGCCAAACATAACCATGAGGTAAGTGATCTTGCCAAACATAACCATGAGGTAAGTGATCTTGCCAAACATAACCATGAGGTAAGTGATCTTGCCAAACATAACCATGAGGTAAGTGATCTTGCCAAACTTAACTATGAGGTAAGTGATCTTGCCAAACATAACCATGAGGTAAATTACCACCTTATGAGACAAGCAAATGGAATTCCAAAGAAAAATGGACATTTGGAGGTCCATGAAACCCATCTCTATTTTACTATTTTAGTCTAAAATGTGTAATACATGAATACACCTGTGTATGGGCTTTCTTGGAATACATCCCTCTTGATTATTGCTAAGGCTTAATGTGGTAATTTTAGATTCCTTTTTTTTAAGTAATAAACATTTTTTTATGATTCAAGTCTCATCAACTTTTCACTTGCTTATATTAAAATGTTTCGTATGTGAACATGCCAGCTTTACAAACCCATTGTGGAAAGGAACAGAGTTCAGAATAGCAATAAAACATGACGTGCAATCCACAATAGCATGGATAATAACATTTCATTCACTTCATTAGACAACAGCTCATACTTTTGAAGCCCTAGATTGAATTTCCGATGACCTAAAAAAATGATGTGTTACAGTAGGTTGTGTACAAGAGAACAATACCTTTTTAAACCCTTACTAAATAGTATTACTTGTGTGTTCTCAAGCCATAGGCTTACTGAAAGTTTTGTGGAAAAATAGCAGTGAAGATAAGAGTGCAGAATGAAAGTACAGTATTGACATGCATTCAATTCCCTGTTATTAACGAAGTTAACCAGACTCTTGCATATGGCTCATTACCTACTGAAAGTAATGGATGCTAGAAAAGACACAGCCAAGGAAGTTATTATAGATCATGAGCAATGAAATTTTTCTCTGGAAGAACAATTGAGTGGATGCTGGAGGTTAAGGCTCCGAATTATAAATTATTCTTGTGTTTACAGTAAACTATAATGTGCTTAGAAGTTTAAAAATTATAACTCCATTCACTATAGGAAAGTTGAATATGAATAATAATATAATAAAAGCTACACAACATATAATCGTCTGCATTTTTCATAGTAAAGGCTATACTTTTCTGCTATGCATCACTATAGCAGAAGAGTGGGCAGAGGCCAGTCAGTGGAGGGTTCAACAGGAAAGGATGCTGGGTGAAACTACGGAAATACCCACGTCTTGTATTCATTGGACAATCGTAAATGAATAAGCTTATGATTACTTTTGAACTGTGTCACAATAGAAGGACTTATTGGTAGGTCTAGACTTAGAAAAAATGACAAATACTGATATATAACAAGTGTATATAACAAGTAGAACACAAGATAAAACTGTTAGGAAAGAGTGCATGATATATAGATGAATAATAAGATCCCATGAATATACACAGCAGTAACTTGCTAGAGAAGAATATACCAACCATAATCTTACAAAGAGTGTTATGTGCTATAACAGAATGAGGTTGTATCTTATGGCATGCGAGCAGTGGGAGGTGGATAATGTTTGACATACCAGTAAGGAAGGGATTAGGTCTGTTGAAAGCATATTAAGAACTAGTTCTAACTTAATATGCCTTTATTGTCAAAATTTCAAATTAAGAACTATGTAATCACTGTGGGGAAGTTGCAATTTTCATGGATTTACAATATTGATCCTTAAACTAAGGGTAAAGAACTTGGCTCTTGCAAATCACAATGGATTTTCAATGCAAACCTAAGTCAAATTTGTTAGCATTAAGAATTGTTCAAAATGTATGCACATTCATGGCTTTGCTAGAATGGTGACTCCATCACTGTTGTATGTCCCATTTTTTTTTTTTTTTTTGTAAATCTAATAAGCAAAACTCATGCTACAATTTATATTGCTTCCCACAACAGAATTCACTCTTACTAGCTATCATTCACCATGCAAATGTTATGGTCAGGATTACAGTCCCATGTATTCAAATATCTGCAATTCCAGTGATTAGTACGACTTTGCCTTGAGGAGTCTCATATCACGACAGGCAAAAAACATCACTACAGGGAATATTTAACTGGCACGATGCATGTATGGCAAACCAACTGAGCATACTGTACTGTAATGGAAAAGTTTAGTGTGTACTTACTTCTTGCCACCAGTTTTCCTAAAACAGAGGAATCATGAAATATCAACAGAACTGCACATTAAGACTGAGAGGAGCATTCACTTGTATGACCATTAGTCTTCCAATGATTCATTTATCTTATATTGTTCAAACTATAAGTTTCTCACATATGTGGATCCCAATTTTATCATAAGAATCCATTTGATCAAAAATGTTTTATTTTTAAATTTAGTTATATTTCATAATTTGAAAATAATGTAAACTCCTTTAAGCCTTGAATAATATTGAAGGGATATTTTAACAATAACTTTTGCAAAATATAAATAAAATTATATAAAAAACAAAATTATCTTTCGCTATACATATTACATACTGTACTTTCTTTAAACATGTTACATATATACACACATTACTAACACACACATTACATATACTGTATATATAAAATCACACTACATATACACACACATTGTATATACATTGGCTCTCACTGCAGAAAATGGCAATGCAGTTGTAGGAATTAAGAATCAGAGGAATTAATAATGTTAAACAAAAAAAAGTTTAATATGAAAATATCATATTAAACTCCAGCATGATAGTGGTTATGGGAAGGAGTGTGTGTAAAATAAGGTCTTTTCGGTGTAACAGCTAACGAAGTTTACTATTTCATTATTGACTTCTCCAAGACAACTGCAATACTTGCAACTTTCACTGTTACTCACACACTATTACTGGTAACTGTAATAAGTAGTCACCCCATCTGTACTATTATGATAAAATATTAATACCACAGAACAATCTTTTCATATGTGGTTGTATAAACAGACTACGGGCGTGGCTGGCCTGCATGTTATATGCACTAGCATTAGTGTGTTTTCAGTGCAACTGAAAGCACAGGTAACAGTGTGGTTGCCCTCTACATTAAGGATGCATTAATAGAAGTATGTTCCATAATGGGAAAAGAAAAATATTTCAAAGTAAGACAGGATAGTTGATGTTTGTCTTTCATAAAGTCAGACATACTAAAGAAGAATGTACTCACACTCGGACTGTCTTAATAATATACAGTACTTTACAAAACACCAACCCGACGTAAAATAGTTTCCAATGGACAGCAGCATAGCCCACCTGGAGTAAGTGACAAAATCAGGAATGGGGTTAACCAGGGAAGCTAGATCTTCATGAACAATCTCCCGATTACTGCCACCCTCGTATGATTCTGCGCCATCTGCAAACTCAATCTCAAAGACACGCTGCTGGCAAACGGCAAATATCAGGAGGCAGAAATCAGCTGAAAGAGATAATATGCATTAGTGTTATGATATAACACAATAAGTGTTAGCATTAATAATTGCACAGTCTTGAACAGTATTTTACAGTAATCATTGTCCTAAAAAGTGGAAGTGTGTTTTAATGTATAATTTGTTCTTTACACATATGTGTACAAATACACACATGCAAGTATCTGTACAGACATAGGCCTTGGATTTCAGCAAAGTAAACAAAAGAGCAGAAAAACAGAGGTTCTCTTTTGCAAACAGATCTGGGGACAGTTGGAACAACTTAAGGGAGAAGTGGTGGATGCCATAACCATCAACAGTTTCAATGTTATATCACGGATTAAAGAGGAGACAGGACATCACGAGCATACCTCTTATCTTGTAACTACACTTTGGTGATTACTCTTGCACACACACACAAACACACATCAGATATCTTGAAAATGTGGCTAGGGATCATGTTATCTGACTTGTTTGGCATCTTAAATTACCCTACCTCACACATGTACACATCTGTTTATTCTGACATGCAAGATGACCAAGTCCAGAGATCATTCTGGTAACACTACTGAACCTGTTTCAGTAACAAAATCGTTTAACAGATTTATTTTCATTCTTTAATACAATAGTGCAGGTAAGGGTGAACAAGATACTTCTAAAGCTGGATGATTATCATAATACTTTTTCTTTCTATTTAAGAAAAATAAACTGAGTCAATGTATAAAGCACTTCCAGAGTATTGTAGAATAATTAGCTTTTTCTCTACAATAAGATCCATTCATTAGAATCATAAATGGTTGCAGAAGACAACATTCTGTTAACCAAATCAAATCAAAAGTTCAACTTACTGACAATCTTGTAAGACTCGGGTGCCTTGACAAAGTCTGGGAAGAAGAGCCACTCGCGTAGCTCTGCGTTCATTTCACCAACCCATGGATAGTCTGAAGATTGTAAAACACAAGTATCATAACCTATAGTATGTCAGATTTGCATTAATATTAACAGGAAACATAGCAGTTAGCTTTGTTGGTACTGGCACAAATTAATTAAGTTCAGTTTAAGATGGATTTGTGAAAACAGGATTTTTATTATCCTGTTTTGTAAGGCAATTATAATTTTGTATTAGGAACAATGACAAACTCATGACTGAGATCTACAGGAAACCTACACAATGGAGCAAACATGTTGACATTAAACCCTTCCAGATCATTATGCAACAATAACTGCCATAATTACCCATGACAGATCACAAGGTCGTCATTTTTCACATCTCCAGTACAGTACATGGGTGTTTTACTACGGCACTTTATTATGTAAGTACTTTTATTACATTAATTGTCTAACAATGTAAGTTGATGTGTGTGGTAATAAAGGTTGTAGAGCTCTGATAATGATTTTAACGTAAGTAAGCATGCTACGAGGAGTGCAAGTAATGTGCACTAAGGTCAATACCCAAGATAATGAGGTCAAAGACCTAACACATTTTACCTGAGGGTCACTAACACTAATGGCCCTCAGATTAAACATACTTGATAAGGAGAACACATTCTCCATGTGTGGTGGGTATAACAAGAACACTTATTATTTAGCTTTACATCTACCAGAAAATATAATACCTGTATAGCTATTCTTTGGCTGTAAGTACTAAAGGAAAAGTCTATGCTATAGTACATAAACAAAGCTGGACAAATATATGTACAAATCATTATATACAACAAATGAACAAAATATTATATGAAATAATCTGATTAAAATTAGGCTTTTTTCTCACCTGTGCAAATACCAGGTGGGATCCCAACACACATAAGATACTGAATGGGTATCAATACAGTAATAAAAATGACAAAAGCCTTCCAAACACGTGCAATGTCCTTCCTCTGTCGATTGTAAAAGTAGCAGAGCCACCCGGCATAAATGAGCGAGTAGACGTCCAACCGCGTGCCAATTACAGCCACTAGGCTCATTAGGCAAACCTAGGAGAATTAAAAGAAAATTCTATATATTTTTTTTAGAACATAAGAATATAGGAAACTGCAGAATGCCTATTGGCCTAAGTGAGGCCACTCACATATATATATCAAGTCAACACGAGAAACAATTTAGCAGTATCTTTCATAAATCTACAACCCTATTTTCAAATCAATATTTACCCAGGTGATAGTCACAATACGTGGCTAAAGAGTTGACACCCAACCCCCACATTTGAAAAAGGTCCGAGTTAGGCTTGGACCGAAAATGTTTCAGTCCGAGCTTAACGGACCGAAACATCACCTGTTCTTCATTTTCAAATGTGGGAGTTGGGTATCTATATTTACCCAGATCTTGCCCAGTTTACCTGATTTACCCCAGGGCCACTATCCCTAGTGGCCTCGACAAGTACAGGAAGCCAGCGGCTTGTCGAAGGTCTCCCCCCCCCCCCCATTTGCCTTGATCTCTTCCAGGTATATTTTAAAACAACACAGTTTTGGCATTTATGGCTTCGGGGGTAGGCGGTTCCTTGGGTTAATAACCCTGAGAGTAAAAAAGCATCTCCTGTTCTCAGTCCTACATTGTGGCTTGTTGAGCTTGAAACTGTTACTCCTTGTTTCTGTTACATCTTTTCTGAATCTAAACTCTAAAAATCGATGTCCATTGTTTTGTATTAATTGTGTTTTGATATATTTAGAACCCTATTAATATTTCCCTTGTTATACCCTTACACACATTTGTATACTTTAATCATGTTCCCAAGTACTAGCTGCCATTCTAGAGAATGTGAAGATAATTAATCTCTTCATAAGGAAGCTAATCTTGATATTACCTCTCCTCCTTCAAGTGAATTTTATGCGCAGCATTCTAAAATACTCTTCCCAGAGGCATAACAATGGTGAAGAACATTATATGTTTAATTACATTACTACCAATACTGTAACACTTGGATATTGATTTTGGTATCCTCTATACACACAGATTTTTTGGCCTGTGATCCCTATTAATCATAACTCCCAGATGTTTCTGCATTCAGATTTGATAATCTTATAACTGTTCAGCTGATAATCTGTAGCTATTATTATATTCTAGGCTAAGAGCCATATATTTGTAAACAAACTGCATCTGCCAGTCACTCATCGAAATTATTAGTTAAAAGTTACAAGTTGTCCTATAAACATGTCGATTCCTTATCCGAATTTATTTACCCTTCCATCAGACTGTCATCAGCAAACTTTCCATTCTTGATGTTTATTCCTATGCCCAAGTCATTTATCTATTTGTAAAGAGTGCCTAAAAAGAATGAGGATGGAAATAATTTAGCAAATGTACTTGAACAAATACAAGACAAAATTAATCTTTCAAGATTCTATACAAGAAAATTAGAACACTTAAGAATTAAGCCAAAATTAGTACATGATTTAATAACAAGCCCTTACCTCAACACCAAACTTGTAGAAACCATAGTTTAGGAGAAACTTTGTGCACTCTGAAATACCATCATCAGCCACCGCTCTTGTGATGTTTGAGAAAAGAACACCAGGTGGTGGAGGTGGAAGTCCGGTCAGTTTACGCTGATACTCTTGCCTGATGACAACCACCGCTTGCACTGTTATCACAACGATGATACCTGCACAGCACAATTCGTGTAGTTATCTTACTCCAAGGACATAAAACACTTCCCTATCAGTACTTACTGATACTTAAAGTACATTATCAATCACTTACTGAAGTATGATAAAAATTTAAAGGGCAAAGAATGTAAATATTTATAGGCAAAATTGTGTGTGTGCATGTTGACAGAGCATTGCTGCAAGCAGCAGCATATTTATTTTGCACCCCCAGTATGTAGTGGTCAGAGCAGTCACTTCACAACGGAAAAATCACGGGTTTGATTCCTGTGGCAAGATGGAAACATCTTAGCACATTTACCTTTATCTAAAGTCTCCGAGTAGTAAGTAGGTACCCAAGAGTTAGGCAAGTGTTGTCAGTTGCCTAGTAACCTACAACAGTCGACTAACAACCAAGTACTTACAGTATTTACAGCTAGGTGAATAGAGGCAGTGAGTGTAGGGAAACATGCTTAGCTTTCACTAGTGATATACAGTAGTACTTTATACAAAGCTCTTTTCCACTTATCTCTAATTGAATTTTCATATACAGTGCAAAATTAGAGTTCATCATCAGACAGGAAACCTATTGTAGGAGACTTTTTACGGTAGCTGTATGTCTCGGTGTGCACTATCAACAGAATGAAAAATATAATGACACTGGGAATAATGAAGTGTCTTTAAAAATAAAAATATTGGTAATAATTTTTATTTAAAAATACACTCATGATGATACTGTACTGTGATTAAATAATTGTTAAAGAATATGTACATTTAATAAAGTTACTAATACACAAAGCATTTTGGCTGGTTATTCAGCTGAACATGTTCTGTGTCCACCTCCATTTGTACTACAACACACACACACACACACACACACACACACACACACACACACACACAACTGTACTGAAGTTTATGATAACTTACCTATGTAGCCTTTAAGATACTTTGATAGACTAGGAACCTTGCTAAGGCCCAGCCATGCTGCATTGTTTGCCGTCTCATTCAGGGGATAAGGCGTCCGCGTGAGGTTATCATGCAGCTCATAAATTAGATGAAGGCATAAAACTTAATATAAACTATGAATTTTGTATCACAATTGTTAAACATGTTGATATAATTCATTATCATAAATGAATAAAAAGATTGTTCAGGGTCAAAATATATGAAAATACACAATACAGTAATATTAAATTAAAACTCAAGACCCAAAATTATAAATGGCAAATATTGATAATAAATGGTGTTCAAATACCACAATAATGCATCAAGTGCACAATTCATCTATACATAAAGAAATTATAATTTAATATTGTTTCAAAAAGTAAAACCATTGATTATAACTTACTGAACAGTTGGCAGCCCATCCTTCGGGATCTATGTAATCAATCTGGTATATCATCCTGACAATAAGGAGAAGAGAGGACAGGACGACACAGGTGCGGCAAATACCAATCTGAATCCTCTCGGGGCATGGCACTGCTACTGTGGCAAGCACAGCAAAGGCCCAGTGAAGAGCACAAACCTGAAAAGTATATCGTCTATAACTATTCTATAGTCTATATGGTAGGGCAACTGTGCAGTATAACATGAAACATATATAGCTATTCCACACCACAACGACCAAGATATGAACATATGCAACGTTCACATTAAACTGCTTTAAACTTCAAATACGGGGATGAGGAGGTAGAGTTCAGTCCCTATACACACAGATGAGCACATTTAAGCTAAAACAGCCTCTATAATAAATTGTATTCATTAGCAATGATGCAAGCTGGACAATGTGCCCTGCATGTACACACACACACACAAAATACACAAGCTGAGGAAATAAAGACATAAGGGTAGGTACACCAGTTAATTAATGAATAAAAGGCTGGGTTGAGGAGTTAGAGCTCACTCCCCTTTAAGCACAATAAGACGAGTGCAGCACCCATCCCCGATTAAACAGCTTGAACTAAGTGGAATTTTAAATAAAGTATATCTCATGATGCTGGAGGAGTAATGCACTAACAGGATATTGTAGAAGGTGCTTAGAGAAATGAATAAAGTAGATATAACTGAAATCAGAATGAGTATGCAAAAAGGGTTGTTGAGCATCACAGTCAGAAAATGAGAGCAAAAATTCTTTAGTGCAAGGGAGTGAAAGGCACTAGAATAGCAAGTAGCAGAGGCCAATCCTTTATAAGAGACAAGTGCACATATGGTAAGAACTTTGGTGGTTGGAATTTTATCTCACACACAATCCCCATCTCCCACTTCATGCTTATTATAAATTATTTGTAAATACATAGGCACTAACATCATAGCAAGCAAGCATTATGACAGAACCGAGGACGATCTTCATTAAATGCAATTCCAGGAAGCGCCAGCCTAGCTCCATTGCTGCAGCCATGGTGTCTTGTATCCGAGCCAGTGCTTTCTGTCCATAGTATTCCAACACAGCTGAAACAATATAACCAAGGAGAAAATATTCAAAGCACTTAACAGCTATTTACAAGACAGTACTGTATATGATGTATAGAGACTTCAGATGCACAGCAATTTCCCATCATGGGGTTCTTTTTATTAAGTACAAGTTATGTGCCATTCCCAGCAAGCTAAGAACAGATTAACCTTCTGTGGCTCCCAACAGATCTGCAAGTCTCCACTTGAAATTTTGTTGTAAAGTACTGTGTATAAATATATCTTTCAAAGCATTTGTTATTTAAAAACTGTAGCATCATAATAAATATCTAAGGACTCCTTTGAAGCATATCATGATGTGTGCACTAAATTTTGCTTTAGTTGCTCTGGTCCCTGAAAAGTACTGTACGAGCCCTGAGCCATGGAACCATTGCAGCCCTTGTTAACCTGGCACTGGGTAAAACATATGAATAATGTCTTTAAAACTTAAATTACCAAATAATTTAAGAGCTTTCTACTTCAGAAAAATAATCAACAGGCTAGATAGTATCAGATACCAATTGAAGCACTGTTGTACGGAAAAACTTTTCTCAATAGTAGTATTTTCTCTGGCTAGCCTCACACTAAAAAAAACATTCAGTAGTCTACAGTGTACTACATTTTCTAAACCTACACAATGAAATTTTATTAAATACAATTTTCTAATTTTTTGTTTTCATTTCTTGATATATATTTTACTTTCATTAGCTCTAGCTCTTCTACCACTTGTGCTTTGCTATCCATCTACCCATTTTTCCATCTGTGTATTATCATTTTTAATATCTTCTCCCACTTGCATGTGCTCGCAAAAAGCAATCGATATTATTTCTCACTGCTAGCTAGAAAGACACGCACAGTATTTGCATGTAAAGCTCTTTCAACAAGATTTATATCAGGTGCTACTTGACTGAAGGGGATTCCATTTATTTTCATACATGTACATACTAGAGTACCAGTGGTAGCCTCTTCTATTTTATATACAGCACTGGGCGGAAAAGAAACTAGTATTGCACAAATTGTGGGCAAATTTAATCATATGTTGTCAATTATGAAATGTCAATAACAAGTTCTTCTCACCTTTGATATCATCAAGTGTACAAGAGTCTAAAAGATTTGGATGGTTGGGACTGGGCACCTTTGTCTCTTTTTTGGCTGCTTCCTTAATGATGGGCTGATCTTGTCTGAAATAGTTATATCAAGAGTCATACAAAATTCAAGGGATATAATAACATATATAAGAATATGAATTACTGTATGTAAATACTATCCCTTTTTAAGGCAGAATGAGCAAGAACTAAATCATATTAGATAGAAAATTAAATAAAAGCATATTTAATCTTTTACTGCATTGAATGAAGCAAATCTAGATCAATTCAATGAAAATTTCCAACTTAAGTATGCCTACTTTAAGTTGCTTACTTTATATGCAATATTTCTGGCGATATTTTGTGCATATATATATATATACATATGTATGTATACATGCATGCATGTATCTTTGTATGTGTAACTTGTATGATTTTGGGTGACAACATTCAAAGAGAATGGTGGGTTTTTTATGTTTATTTAAAAGGCTTGGTTATATCACAGTTATGTGACGTGTTGTGATAGGTTGATGCGAGGATGCTTGTTATATGCTGCTGGCAGATTCAGGTAGGACGTAATGCTAAAAGTTGGAGACAGGAACATCTGTGAGGCCTGGAGCTGAGAGCAGAGAGCTTGAGTGAGGCAATTGGCAGATAACTTGGAGGGGGGCAAGAGCAAAGAGCTTGAATGAGGGTAGGATTGGAGAGTTCAGATAGGTGTCAGAGCAGGTAGCTCGACTTAGGCTGAGAGTGGCTATCTGCTGTGAAGCAAGGCTTGCGGCATCGGAGAGAGAGAATTAGAACTCTACTTCTCATGTGTCACATCATAAGCTGATGAATATTGGTGGTATTGGAGGAGATCTACAGTATATCCTGAGCACTTGTCACTTGACTACTATTGGAGTTAGACTGTTGATGCTATGTTCCCGATTGGCTTATATCCATGCTTCATCTGACTGTGTTGGACACAGTTTGTTTCAGCCAAGTTGATCATCATTTAGCCTGGTGGGGAAACTCGCTGGTTACTTTTGGCATTCCTAAGCAAGTCATGGAAACATTGGAGAACATGTATTAATGTAATTACAGATGTCATTAATGGTTAGTTAATATGATTGCAAGTGTCACTAGTGATTTTGGTGATAAGTAGCTGGCACATTAGAGATAATTAATGTTGTATGCTACATATGAATGCCTGTATGTATGTATGTATATATGCACGTCCCCGTGGAACAGCAGTAAAACACTTGCCCAGAGCTTCGCAAGCGATTTAGCCTGGGTTCGTATCCTGGCTAAGGAGAATTGATTATGCACCAATTCTTAGCTGTACACTTCTGTTTCCCCAGTCAGGAAATGGGTACCTAATTGTTGAACGATTTGGTGGGTTGTATTCAAGGGTAAATCAGGATTAAGGACCTGCTCAAAATGCTATGCAGGCTGAACAACAATAAACAATAAATAAACAATAAACAACAATATTGTTTTCAACAATAAAGCTGAAGCAGCTTAACTGTTGAAAACCTGAGACACAATTGTAAAGTGGAAACCACACAAGTGAAACAAACACTATAGTAAGAGACCCCTTTGGTGAGAAAGTCTTAATTAAGACTAGTGTGTTTCTTAAATATTCCAGTTGACTAATTATGCGAATGCCAGGCAGCAAACTAAGCATCTCTAAGGGAATATAAAATGACTTAACAGATTTGTGTGTGTCATGTTGAGCAAATGTCTCGGGTGGATTGAATCTTGCTGTGTAGGGGGAGACAACACAATTTGAAATGGAATGAGTCCTTCTGGGACATTAAGTTACTCAGAGCCTGACACAATGACTGTATCCTAAGAAGGTTCAGAGCCATGGCATAGAGAAGCTACTGAGGAGCCTTGCTTAAGAAGTCTCAATAAATGAGTAGGCTGATTGGGAAGACTCACATTTTCTCGATATCAGAGAGCTCAAGGAAGTCCTTGTGGAAATAGTGAACCTGGATGATAGTGACGATCACAAAGAAGGTGGGAGTCATGAGTTTGATAAAGAGACGGCCAGTGTCGTAAACCTGGGAAGAAAAAAGTCATTTATAAATCACAGTTGATCAAATAAGATTTGTCTGGTCCCCTATACCAAATAGGTATAGAGGACTCAATATATAACTCAATATAAACATTATTATGAAATATTGTATTTTTATATAAAAATATCCAGACTATCTAATGATACAAACTATATCTCTAATTCTCCCTCTTTCACTTTATGCTTGCATGTACGGTAGTGTACATATATTCCCTCTATCCTAAAGGGAGACGGAATAATTTTCTACTGTCGAGGATAGGAAGCCTGTTAGGCTTATTGAGGTCCCCTAGGATAACAACTGACTTTTCCCAAGATACAACCCACAACAGTTTATTAGCTCCTGGGTACTTATTTACTGCAAGGTAAACTGAGGCAATAGGTGAAGGAAAGCATGCCAAAATGTCTCCATGTTCAGGAATCAGGCCTGGGACATTTGGTTGTATACTGACATTTCTGACAACTTCCTACATGTGTGTGTGGGTTAGTCAATTGTTTGCATGGAGGCGTGTAATGATGAGTGGGAGAGGAGGTATTTTTATTGTGTGAGTAGGTCAGCAGGTTATTGGAATATGGGGGGTAGGTAGGTAGGTTGGAATGTGGTAGTGTGGATGCTGTGTTCTTGCCTAAATGTACTTGTAATGGCTCTTCTCTCACTTTTATTATAATTTTTACATAAAAAGTTGTGTATTTGAGTTAGAGTAACAATTTTTTTTCAACTAATCCATTTTATTTTTTGTTTATAATTTTTACACGTTTTCTTTACTCTAACTTGTCTGCATCTCTAGACCTGTCACACCATCCTCCCCCTCAACCCACACCCCTGACCATTCATGCTCCCACCACCTGCCCCCCCCCCCCCACCCTTCTCCACATACCACCTATGTCCCTTACTCACACACTCACCTACCACTTGCCCATCCAATTCATAACCTCACCCATCATCTTATATCAATCACCCACACACTATAAGCTTACAACCTAATTTGATTACTAGTCAGGGAAAGACATTTTAGCATATTTCCTTACACCTGATACTCAATATAAATCTCACCTAGCAGTAAATAAGTATCCGAAAATTAGGCAACTATTGTGGGTTGCATCCTGAGGAGAGTCGGTCATTGACATAGGATGACCTCAATAAGCCTTACAGGCATCTCTTCTAAAATACAGTAATAATAATAAAAAAAGAGATTCCTTGACAGCATAATGCATCACCAGTGAGAGCCAGGCATTAGCAGATTTAAAACCAATTGCAGTGTGCATTAAATCCTTTCATGTGTAACTTATAATACTGTATAGCCAACTGTCCTAAATACTTTTAATTTATACCAACCAGAATAATACAAATTACCTCACTGACCAATTACCACATGGCCAGCCTGAGGTCTGCCTGTAAGAACAAAGAAAGCTCTTAAAATGAGCTACAGGTAAGTCCTCATACCTCAAGACCCACATCATTCTGAAGTTGGATGGGGATGCCAGTGTAGTTTTGCCAATACTCTGGGAAGTTGTCAAATTGGTAAGTGTATGTGAGCACTAACACCAGCATCTGGTAGATGATGACCGTGAGCCAAAATCCATAAAGGAAATTGCGCCACGCAGAGTACGATAACTGAAAAGACAATTCTTGTTTATGAAAAATTGCTATATATATATCATAAAAGTTCTGTGTGATTGTATTAAATAACTATTCTTGAAAACAAGTGATATTATATAAAACATCCATACACACCTGGAAGGTGATGGTGAAAATGAGGAACAGAACCATATACATGATCCTGAAAATCACAACCTCAGAGCCTTGGATACCAAAGACGAAGAGCATAATCGCAACAACCCAAATCCAAAATTTGACCAGAAGACTTCGTACCCATTGCCCTAATCGCTGCATTACTGGTGATCCCATGGAATTATCTGTTTGGAGAAAACACAACATGAGACCATGGATAACTATTAATGCTTTACTTAAAATCTCATCACAAGCAGTGAAAGATAAACAGGAGTTTGAGCAACACAAAGCCAAATATTTCATGTCCAATTAATATAGCATATAAAATCTGATCCTTTGATTTTTAACCAATGTGAAGGTATTTAAGGCCCAGCAGATGTGCCAACAATACTATTTAGGGTAATTCCTTAAGTTGAGAACTTTAAAGTACTTGTACAACAATAGTATTGTCATTGCAATAATGAAAAGTGTCAAGATGCTTGTTTTCCAATGTATTCCTGGCAAATTATGCTTACGTTATATCATCATTCTGCACCACCTTGACTTTATAATAGCTTATAACCAATATTTGACATTTGTATAACAAATTTATACTGCAGAATTTAAGCAGAAGGAAATACATTAATGTCTGGCTCTGCTGGCCTGTATTTAACATATTTAACAAAATAATTTGCATGTAATTTGTAATTGTTATGGTAATGGTTATAATTAGAGTACTGACCATGAGCAGAATTAACAAGTGTGGTGACGGGTTGGCCAGTGGTGGTGGTGCTCACAGCCACAGTGAAGGGCTGTAAAGCTGCTGCTGTAGACATCTCTCGCTTGGTGACTTCAATCACTTCTTTCACATACTGACGTAATGTGATCCAGAACATTGTTGTGTACAGCACCTACAATAAAAATAAGCTTTTTAGTTATTTGAAAAACTCCTTTTCTGAGCGTATTTGGTTTCTGCCTAAATTGAGATCTGCTATGTTTGAAGACAGGATTATGCTACAGTTAGTTAGGACAACACACTGGCACCAAAGGCAAAAGGAGCCTTTCAAATGGTAACTACAGCATCATAATAGGTTATAATAGGTCACACAAAAACACATGCCAGCCCAAAATGAGCCAGCATGGGATGCTGTGGTGGATATATTGCTAAAGTGTGAGTGTTGGTTTTAAGTGATGCACCACTACACTACATGGTGTGGGAGACATGGTTTCCCATTGTCAGGGACAGGAACCCTGTAGTTAGGCTTGTCGAGGTCTCTATAGGTCAACTACTGACCCCTCCTCAGGATGCAACCCCACAATAATTACCTAATCCACAGGTACCCATTTACTGCTAGGTGAACCGACACATCAGACGAAAGTAAACAACCCCAATCGTCTCTGTCCAACAGAGGGACTCAAACCTGGGACCCTCAGCTGTGAGTCAACAATGTAGATTACTGCCCTACAGGCATGTGCTGGTTCTACAGGATGCTGGAATATTTAGTGGAGATGGCATATGGCGAGATGTCTTTTTTGATACATTCTATTTTTATTTCTAAGTCTATTTCTTCTGAGTAAATGCTTCCCCCACCCTAAAAAATGGGAAATGGAGTACAGTAGTGATTATAGCAACAACTTATTATATCATATATCACAAACAATATGAATTTTTGTTAATAAGGTATTTTCACATTCCATTAAAGGTGATAACAAGGGAAATGTAAAAAATCTGTTTATGAAGACAAAGAGAAAGTAGATAAGAAAAAAACAAAACAAAAGCTGGACATTCACTTTAACCAGCAGTGGCTTGCATGGCAGGTATCGATACTTCACAAGTCCAATTTGACCAAGATTTACAGCTTCCACTTGGCTAGGCAGTTCGTCGTCTGTCAGGTCCATGCAATAAATATATTGAAGAACCAACAACAGCTGTAAGATAATGAAAGAAATACTTAAGCTATAAGCATACTCTATAAACAAAAAAATTGCCATCATGTTCCCCTACAATTATTACATTATATATTAAGCAAGACAGAGCTGACCACTGAACTATAAACCACTATCATTGCCAGTGTGGTGGAATATATATATATATACTGTATATAGAAATAATAATAAAATGGCCTTTTCACTTTAGGACATGCAGATTATATACAGTACACTATATATTTTATTTACTTTTTTATACATCACTGAAATTTTACAAGAACTGGTTGGGCTTTTACTCAAGTTCCACACAAGTGTGTTCTGCAAATTGGAGCACATAGGAGAGTAATGAGAACGTTTCTAATATGGACAGAAAAATTTATAATTGGTAGAGAGCTGAAAGCAGTAATTAAAGGCAATCAATTAGACAGAAGGAACGTCACCTTCTGTGTCCCGCAGGGCTCGGTACTAGCCCGGTAATATTCATAGTATACATAAATGAACTGACGGTAGGGATTACCCAAGCAACCAGAAAGAACAAATTACCTAAATGACTGCTCTAGTCTTCTAAATGACTTAGACAATAGCTTCATGAGGTACTACATAGCTAATGGAATCTAATGTGAACAAATCTCACAAACCACACAAATATTTGAGTCTCATTGAATTATCTTTACCTAATCTCGTCATCCAGTCAGATAATAAAACTATAATAATATATTAGCACACTACTTTAAAAAATTTTATTTGGTATTACTTGTGTATTTGAACAGACTACTGACCTCAGCATATACAACAAGAAATGGGGAACATCGTAGCATAGCAGCACGCTGGTTAGGAATCATCCACAGCACGCAAGCCCACAAAAGCAGCACAAATGTCAACCAGCTGTGATAAGTTATACTCCATGCCTGTTCCAGAATAAAATAAATATTACTGATGACTTGTATTTCTTTATATAAGAGCTGAAAAGCTTAAATTGGCTCTTATAACATGCTCAGTAAATAATCACAAAATATATAGGAAATAATAATTGTTATACATGTAGCTATGAAATGCAATATTAAATATAACACTATATAGTACCCCATACCATGGAACTGTGTTTGGCAGCGAACAGATTTTCCATACCCGTGGATGTTGCATGATGATGAATAGACAGTACTGAATGTAAAAGCCTGGGGCAAATAGACAGTACTGAATGTAAAAGCCAAAGGCAATTTTAATTCCTCTAATATTTTGTAAACAGTGGAAATTTGCCTACTCTGAGTGCAAAGACTAACAGTTCAATCTGTGTAAGGATAACATGTCCCACATTTGGTTGGCCATTTCTGAATTTGTTTATTTTATGCCAAGCCGGTGGGCATATTACGGTGCAGAAATTACCGTAGCTGAAGCCAAATGTAAACTAATTGTAAACTAATAAAAAGTTAAATTAAACTAATAATGAGGCAGCACACTCAACAGTAGTATGCTGCCTCATTAGAGAGAAACCCAGAACTGTTGTGCTGTTAAGGAAGAGCAGGGATGGTTTCAGATAACGAGTCTCTTGAAAATAAAAACCAATGAGATCTGCAACCTCCATATTGTCAGTGTGCATGCTGTTATGTCAGCTTCACTGAAGATGGTGGCTCTTGGGTAAATATGAAATAATTATATTCTAGAGTTCCTATATAGAAAGCAACAGTCACCTACAGTACTTACATTTAGCCAAACCCCGATCATTAATCACATATCCGTATTTTAAACATTGTAGTTTCTTTTGCACGCTCATTTAACCATTCTCCTCTTGTACTATTCCAAATCTACACAAACTTTTCCTATGAATTTTGACTTGTGTATATGGATGACCAAGTTTGTCCTTTCTCAAAACATCCATCACTTCTCTCATTTACACATATTGCATTCCATGGAATGTATCACGTACTGTATATGTATTTAGCAATTCAAACAATAAATCTTTTGTATACAATGTATTATTATATTATATATTATATATTATATATTATATATTATATATTATATATTTATATATATTTGGTTCTAAATAACAGTCTAAAAGATATTGCAATCAGTGAGACACTAAATACAGTATATGAAGCAAGATCAAATTACAAGAGGACAATTAAATCACTGATCTTATACTGTAGTTGACTGTGTACTGAAGAGTATTATTTAGCATGACTGACCATCATGACAATGTTGGTAGCTATGTAGGAAGAGCGGATGACCAGCTGAAACACACTGATGAGTGGAGCAATAAGCCACTGGAGGGGGTTCTCATCCTCGCCTCCGTCTTCCGCACCACCCTCAATTTCTCCCACCACTTCTCCACTTCCGTCTCCACTATCTGGTTGCGTTGCTGGTGTGCTGGGAAGGAGCTTCTCAGTTTTCTCTGTTTTATCCACCACCTGCAACAGTCTTAAAATGTGACAAATGGAAAGGACAAATGGGCAAGAATAAACACAATCCAGTAACAATGACATCTGCACTAGCATGTCGAGTAACGTTAAATGAAAATTGGATCAACATTATCAATGTTGATGCATTGTTACATCACATCTTTTACCTGCTGGGTTTGATCTTTGAGAGTTAGCAAGGGAATGGTTGGCCACATTCTGGCTACCTGAGGAGGGGATACCCGAGGACAACTGATGAGTTAATAAAACATATATGATCGGAGAACCTTGGTAAAAACTGCCAAGGAAAAAAATATTCAATGGTTGACAGGTATGGAATTTATGACAAAATTTTGCAATCTTGTAGGAAGTACATAAATCACATTAATTAAAGATTGTATTCTCACAAATTGTTTTAGTAATTAAGAGGCAGAACAAATTATTCATCCATCATTAAAAGTGCATTTGATTTGCCAAAAGACAACACACAAGCACAAAAATTACCAGGGTATCCTTGGGCCTTTAAAATAAAGAAAGATAGTATAATTAAATGATTTAATGAGAGATATTCAAAACTCATCTTCGAGAACTTCACTTCACTCATGGTTTGTTCTCATCCAGCTACACAAACATATCACAACTCACATCTGTTTAATGAAAATTCTTCTTGCATAAGAATACCATTTCATTTAAGGATTAGCAATTAAAGATTCTAAGATGATTATAGTGAAATAAACAGGGACTTGACAAGAAAGAGATCCTTTAAGGAACACTCACTCACAGTAATTACAAGTTTTAGAAATAAGATACTTACATGAAAGGGCCAGAGCTAACTTTAAAGGAAGTTACTTACAATATTTGGAGTGCACGGTTGTAATTGTAGAAGTTCATACACCTAAAAGAGGCGGGGAAGTCTAGAGGGAAGTGTCCATAGTACCTACGAAACTTTGAGAATTTTGGAAAGTTCAAAACTTTAGATAGAAACCCACATGCATCATCTGCAAGGGGAGTGAAAGCTAGGATTTGAATACAGTTGCATACTCTTATTTGATGGCACCATAAGTGATACTAAAGAAAACCATGTGCAATACCTTGCAAGAGGACAATACAAGGATGTACGGTACTATAATACTGTATTTACAATTTACAGATTGAGCAGGGTACACAGATCTTTGGGTGAGGAGGAAGAGTGGTTGGATTATTATTGGACATAATATTCAACGAGCTTCTGCAACATAATTAAATACAGTGAGCTCAACAAACTACAAATATTAGACTAGAAAGCTTATATGTACAGTACCTTACAGTGGCAGGAAATGACTGAGGAGCACTATGTGCAGCAAATTAAAAAGATGGGAACTAATTTTCAGGGGATCATCAAATACTGTACTGTACCTGAAAGGGACGGGGACTGAGTTTGGAGGGCAGGGAGCCATTTACACCACCAGATGATCTGATGCTGCGAGCTGAGGTGTTGTTACTCATCACGGAGGTGTTGCTCCGGGCAGAATCACGGACCGAGGCATTACGGCTGCGGGCTGAGGCAAGGGGCGTATCCCAGCCTGCATCTGACTCTCGGCCCATTCCTATGCCCATGATGCCCAACACGCCCTCCTGACCAGCACGAGGGACACCATCACCTAACTACCTTAATCTCGTGCTAAAATTAACTACTACATTATGTGAAAAGGAGGGGATATTTCTCATATGTTACATCAGATAACATTCTAAGATTTTCTATTAAAACTTGAGGAATACATGAGCGGCAGTGAATATCAAGTGTGAAAAGTCATCTACACTACGTCTCAGCCACCGCAGCCAACGACTACCTTGTTCCAACTGTTTAGCCTGTAGTGGCAAAAGTGCAAGCATGATTTTCCACTTGCAATATTGATTATCACAAACTAATTTATTATATGTGCAAAAAAAATAATCCTTACATTTGATTTACTACAAATACCAGTAATACAAATACTGTACAGTAATTTTATTTAATGTACCATGAGCAAATAAAATGTTTATAAATACAGAGCAATTTACTGTATATTGACAAAACTATTCTGTTTCCATTGTTTTTTTCTATTTGAGCACTGTACAGTATACATTTATAGGTCTATTTGATAGACCTATTAATAGACCTAGTCTATTTGATTAAACCTATTCTAGGTTTATTTGATACAGTAATTGTTCTCAGAAGTGGAAACTTTTGTATTTTGTCAGGTGTCTATCTTTGTGCTATAAGAAATGTCTGACTACCTCAGTGTTTTACCATACATCCATCTACCTCCGTGTAACAACACACGCATGTCTATCTTGGTGTTATATTACATGTCAAACACTTTAGACTTTCTGTAATTCTTAATCCTCCTTATTACCTAATAATAAAATATATGAAGTTATGCCTTAAAGTGACCCACCTGTCTATCAATATCCCCATCAGTATAGCTATGTGGTGTAGAAATTATTAATGACTCCAAGTGGTCATTAAGTATAATATTTATATTTATAAAAAATACAGAGGATCATATTACTTTGTAGTTACTTAGTAGGTACAGTGCTTGTATTCATTATAAAGCCACTAATTGCACACAATTTTCCATCACAAACCATCAGCCGACATGTAAGATTGCCGAGCCAGATATAATCGAGAGTTAATGAAACGATTTAAATGATTCTGCAAAAGGAGTTTGTTAATGATGTCCAACAAAATATCTGAAGAGGAGTTTCTAGTTAAACATAGGAGCAACTTCAGATAAAACAAAAACACTGAGAAAAGGCAAAGGATAAGGTTTAAAACTTAGCAGTAAACACACACATTCATGCAATACAAACACAAGCATTAAAATTCTATATAATTCTAGTGCACAAGACCCCAACACCTAAATGAGTGGACAATACAGTACAATTATACCAACAGGACATGTTCAGTGTCAATAACAAATACAAACAGATGCACATATACAGTCAAGTCAGTCCTGGGAAGACCCACAACCACCAGAAATTATCAAGCTCACAGATAACGTAGTCATCCAAATAAAGTATCACAATTCAGTGGAAAACGATTAACACTGAGCAAAAAGAGAATGCATTTCAAAGCACAGAACACAGAAAGGCCGAGGTTCAAATTGTACCGACATGCATGAGAAAACACGATCATCAAAAATAATATGTTTTCGAACATGGTAACAAACACTGAAATATTTAAACAGTACAGATTTTCAAAACACTGTATTCACAGGCAACGAAGTATTTTTTGGACCATGCAAGTTTGCATAACATATATACAAACACCACACTATTAGTGTGTATGTGAGCAATCTATTCTTAGTGCAGTCTTTTGTATCTGATCAACATTTGTCATTTACAAATGCAATACAAAATAGAAAACCATAAATCATCACAATTCCCATTCCCTCTAATGTATTTAATTAGCTTGACGTTAATGTACATCAAGAAAATTATGTTTTAAATACACATAGGTAGTATATATAGTTTATATATACAGTATGTGCATAATGCTGGAGGTCGTAAAGCCACAGTAGAAAGAACTCAAAAGTGCAAATGACCAGTGATCAAAGTCACAGGGCAAGTGTTATATCCTAGTTGTTCATTCCTAGTGTGTGTCATTACTAAGTGTAATTACCTATTTGTAGTTACAGGATGAGAGCTATGCTCATAGGGGTCCTGTCTTCCCAGCACTGTCATATAATGCTTTGAAACTACTGACTTGTTTTTTGCCTCTAGCACCACCTCACTTAACTTGTTTAAAAACACTACCACTCTATATCCTTGTACCCTAAATTTCTTTGGCAGCTTTGTTTAGTTAGCTTAAATCTATGACCCCTTGTTCCTGAAGTTCCAGGTCTCAGGAAATCTTCCCTATCAATTTCGTTGATTCCCTTCACTTGTTTGTACGCAATGATCATGTCGCCTCTTTCTTTTCTTGTCTATTTTTGGCATATTTAATGCCTCTAACCTCTCCATGTGGCTCTTGTCTTTCAGTTCCAGGAGACATTTAGTTGCACATCTTGTACCTTTTCCAGTTTGTTGTGATGTGACTCTTAAGATATGACCAACCACTTTGACAGGATGGTAGAGTGATGGTCTCGCTTCGTGCAGGTTGGCGTTCAATCCCTGACCATCCAAGTGCATGGGCCCCATTCCTTCCGCTCGTCCCATCCCAAATTCTTATCCTGACTCCTTCCAAGTGTTATACTGTATAGTCATGACAACTCGGCACTTTCTCCTCATAACTCCCACCCCCCCTCTCTCCCTCACAACTGCTGCATATTCCAGCTTTGGTCTCACAAAAGATCATGAACAATTTCTTTAGTATTTCACCATCCATGTACAGTACAGTATTTAAAATCAATTCTGAAATTCGAAAGCGTATCATAGACTCCTCACACAATGTCCTTTATGCTCCTTGGGTGATATTTTTCTATCTAGAACCATCCATAGATCCCCTCTTCAGAATTTTGTAAAGCTTTTTCACATAGTTTGTAGATTGTGTGGTGTATTTCCTCCTATTCCAAATTCCATAACATACATTTATTCACATTAAATTCCATTTGCCAATTGGTGCTCCATACACTTATTTTCTAGTCTTCTTAAAGGGCATGACAATCATCTATGTTTCATATCTTCCCTAATATTTTAATAGCATTAGCAAACATGTTCATATAATTCTGTATACCTTTCTGGTAGATCACTTATGTAGACAATGAACATTACCAGTGCAAAAATTAAACCCTCATGACATTTCTCCAGTCTGATACATTGCCTCTGATTACTGCCCTCATTTTTCTGTCCAATAGAATTTTTTTTAATCCATGTTAGAAGCCTCCCAATCACTCCTCCAGTGTGTTCCTGTTTCCAGAACAACCTCTTATGTTTAACTCTGTTGAAAGCCTTTTTTAGGACCAGATAAATGCAGTCAACCCAACCATCTCTTGCCTGTAAAATTTAAGTGGCTCTTTGCTAGAAACTAAGTAAATTTGTAACACAGTGTCTTCCAGATTAAAAACCATACTGTCTGTCTTTGTTATTATCTAATTTTTCTCCAGGTACATTTTTCTCCAAAACCCATTTAGTTCCAATTATTTTTCCCAAATTTTGACTACTACACCTGTCAGTGACACAGGTCTACAATTAAGGGGTGCTTCCTTGCTGCCACTTTTGTAGACTGGAACAATGCTAGCCTTTTTCCACATATATACCAGGACTCCTGCACACAGGAATGCCTGAAAGATGCATTTTTCCACTTTGTTTCTAGACACCCCTATGTGCTCTATGTTGTTCTCTGGAATTCTTATTGTGTGTGTGTTATATTCTAGCTGTTTTTGCCTAGTGTCATTTCTAAGAAGATAGGAAGACGATGCAGTAATGAGTAAGTTGAAAAGGAAGATATGCCACTACTGCACAAAGGGATGAGGAGGGAAGGGACATCACAAAACTCTAATCATGTATGAGAGAAAAGTAGTGGTCAGATGCACCAGTATTAATCAGTTTAGGTTAGAGCACTGGTACATCAATACTAATCAAAGAGTGGTCATTAAGTCTTCTACACAGTTGTTAGAAGCAGTGTTAACCCAAGGTGACAATGGCTAAGGCTGCCTGAGAGTGGGTGAGACAGATGGCTGCAGGGCTTGTTACTTGTGTGTCGCGAGGCTGGCGGCGCCGGGAGGCCCGTCCACACCGGGTCTCTGAAGCCGAGGACCTGCCGGACTTCATGGAACGACTTCTGACGGTGCTGCGTCGGATAAGGTACCGTACACTGGACCCCATCGGGGAGAGCAGCGCCGCCTGTGAGTGGGAAAAGCAGGGGAGGCATAGGGATGAGGGGGGGGAGGTAGCATGGGGGGGGGGGGAGAGCATTGAGGAGGGGTGGGAGAGATAGCATTGAGGGGGGCTAGAAGAGAGCATTGAGGAGGGGTGGGAGATTGCATTGGGTGGGGGGGAAGGAAGATTGCATTGGGGGGAAAGGAGATAGCAAGAGGGAGGAGATAGCAATGGGGGGGAGATAGCAATGGGGGGAGATAGCAATGGGGGGGAGATAGCAATGGGGGGGAGATAGCAATGGGGGGGAGATAGCAATGGGGGGGAGATAGCAATGGGGGGGAGATAGCAATGGGGGGGGGGGGGGGGGGGAGAGATAGAAATTGGAGGGGAGGTAGCATTGGAGGGGACAGGGAGATAACATTAGTGGGGAAAGGAAGCTAGCACTGGAGAGGAGGGGGTAGCTAGAAAGGAGACAGGGTTGAGGGGAAGGAAGATGGGTGGCAGTGAGAGGAAAGATACGGTAGAGATGGAGGTGGTAGCAAGGCGAGTTCAGAGGCACAGAAGGGAGATATATATCATGCGGGGAGCATGGAGGGGAGGTATTTAGTATGGGGGATGGAGGAGGTTCCACTGACGAGGAGGTAGCCTGAAGGAAACGGTATAGGGTGAGAGAAGAGGCAGGTGTATGTGAGGGTTGGAGGCAGTGTACCGAGGGGAGTATAGTATGTGGTAATGAGTGGAGGCATGATGGGGGTGTGGTTGGGAGCGACACTCTAGCCACTGTCAACATGGAGACAGACACTTCGGCAGACAAATAAGGAAGAGATCATCCCTGGTTGTGCTAATCAAGAGAGCTGCACACCTTCACTAATGCCACCACTGTACCAAGCATAAACTCCCCACACACATGACAACACCATATACTCTAAACTACTCACACAAACCTCAGCCTTACTAACATTCCCTTGAATGCCAAAGTGCATCATCCATTAAATCACTGGCAAAATAGACAAAATATGTAATTCTCTTACCTTGTTGGACAGGAGGAACTGTGACTCGAAGGCGAGGACATAATAGAGGGCCAGAAGTAGGATAGGGTTGACGAACCTGGACCACTGGTCGGTGGAGAGTGGAGCCGAGCGAGGATCACGGCAGTCCGTCCTCACTACCGCCGTGAACCCAAACACCCTAAGTAGACACACCCAAATCTTAGTCGCCACACTATCAGTACATATAAACATGATATAGCAACACTAACTGGTGGCCAGAGTATTCTCATGCCATTATGGCAACCTAGGGGGGCCAGGTTCTGGTGCTGATCACTGGTCCATTGCCTACCAATTGTCACAACAATATTTGCTACAGTTCTTCATAAAAGATGAATGTATAAGATGGAGAGAAGCTGGATAACTGAATTGGGTAAGGGAAAAATGATAAACAGGAAAAAAGGTCACTGTTAAAGTTGTCAGGCTATGGGATATTACAGGCGAGGTCCTCACAGCTTAGGTCAATGCCTCTCTGTTCCTAATCAATACGAATGGCCAACTTGAGAAAGGAGGCTCATATGTAGATGTTTGCAAACAACACAAAGCCAATGAGGAAAATATAATCCATAGGGGACTGAAGAGAGCTGCAAGAATATATTAAACTCCATGAGTGAATTGTCATTCACTATTAGAGTTCAATCACAACAATTTAAGATTAATAAAGATGGATATGGATGACAGGAGATCAGACAGAATCTATACTACAAGGGAAAGGCAAAAATTAAAAAGCCATAAAAGACTTTTGAGCAGACATAACTCCATAATATACACAAACAGGATAACATCAGTAGCTTATGAAAAGCTGGCAAATAGTACACAATTTGTACTATTGTACAAAGTGTGCAAGACCAATTTGTAGACCAGTTTCTCCCCCAAAGAAACATTTGTACACATTCAACAATTTAACAATAGTAAGATACCTGAAAATCCCTTTAATATCCACATTTCCAGTACAAGCTAATGGAAAAAAACATCATTATTACTATGATGTTTAAACATCATGTGTTTAAACATCAATCATCATTGCTAAAGATAAATTCTTTATTATAGAAATAATAAAGCAGTGCCAGTGCACTGGTTCTATAAGAATATAGTTGTGACACCATTTCTAAAACATTTAGAAAATGTTTGTGTGTGTCTTGGAGAAATAAATCCTGTCCGGTAGTTGAAAAAGTAAGGGAAGACTCAATAACAAGTAATAAAATGGTTCAGATCAATGTGACCTGGAAGAGAGGGAGAGAATGAAACAATGTTAGAAGTAGAGTGGGAGTGAAAAACTAGGGACGTACCTTGCACAGAGCGAGTCTGGGGGAAAGTAGTCCTGGACCCACTGAGCCTGGTAGATGTAAAGACACACCACGTGGACTCCTGCCAGCACCATCACCCCACGACACACGTACCTACCACACAACATATCAAATAAAACCACCTTCAGCACCACTATCACTCACACCACAAATTTTACACTTGTATAGACTACCTAAATAAATATCAATAAGTAATTATAATTGCTCTAAGATAGACCAGTCAGCTGCTCAATGGGGCAATGTCTTGCTCTCGCTAGGACATGACCAAACAACAGTATGACAGACAGCCAAGACAAAAGTCACTTCAAAGTAGAGTGGGGAATGACAGGGCTTTGAGCGAGCATGAAAAGTTTCCTCCTCAACAAGCCATTTGGTTGTTTCACTTTACACCATATACCCTCCATACATGGCCCCTCTACTTCTCCAGTGTTGTCTGGGGCTCACTCAGGATAAATGTGAAGTGGGCCACTGCTTATTATTCTGTTGACAGTGTAGTATTGACATCTGCGGTGGTCTGAAGAAACAGAAATATTTGGCATTTCATTTAACATTTGGAGGAGGTTTTGGAATGCAGACGAATCAGATTTTTGGAGTTGCTTTGGACTGGATTGGAGGTTCTCCAGTATCCCCCTCCCATCCTTTACCTCTGTGAAGGGAACAACCTGGCTGTTTGGTCATGAACTAGTATGAGCAGGACATTGTCTTAGGGAGGCTCTCTGAGTGGCCAGCTCAGAAAAGGAGCTTTGCATTAAAGCACAAAGCTTATTTTTTTTCACAGCAAATTGTAAAAAATCTTGCCACATCTGAAATCTATCATGCATTTATTATACAAATAATACAAATGAACAATAAAGTGGTCATTGTTCCCTTTTGTAATAATATTAAGAACAATAATAATAACAATAAAAATATTAAGAACAATAATATTAACAACAGTAATAAAACCACCACCAATAACAATTATTATTACAATACGTATTATAATAATCTTTATACCATTTGGGAAACACTATGCATATTGAATGCCCTAGTAAACAAATACTGTACAAAAACATCATACCAGTGCTACTAATAAGTGAAATGACCTGTAATCCAACATACCCAAATCGTCGTCCCAATGCATTGTTGAGGCTCCAGTAGGTGGCACTGGCCATGAAGACGACAAAGTACACAGCGGAAGTGACGGAGGGAACCATGACAGCTGCACCCCCAATCAGTGCCATTGCCATGTAAGTACCTTTTGAACATGAAGAAAACATTGGAAACTCCCTCAGTGCTTATATATAGATAGAAGTTAGGACACCTAGCTGATATTGAAATTTATCAATGTTTACTTGCCATAGTGGAAAAGGCAGGACTTGCAATTAGTGCTTAAGCTTACATATGTGTTGGAGAAAATGAGAATGTAAGCAAATAGAATACTCAATATTCAGACATTTACACTTTTACTATGTTTACTTGTTTGAAAGAAGAAATAAGACAGGTACATAAATGTTCAATACTTAAATTTATGTGCATGAAACAGGAAAGACAGACTAAAAAATTGATTTTTCACCCATAGGGTAAAATAAACCCATGGATCTGCCTACCCACCAAAATCTGTAAAATCCTAGATAGTGCTCTAATTCAAATTCAATCTGAAAAAATCCTCAGGAATAATGGGGTAACCTTTGACAAATTACTTAATTGCATTGCATGACAGTGAGGTACCTTAGTGGCATTGTCACCCAAGACAGATGGGGTAAGGACATGTGACAAACCACATTAGAGATAATGTGTCGGCTACTTAAATTAGCGCCAAACTATTCAACTTGCCAAGAAGTTCTATACAAAATATTTCAAAGTTCCCAATAA